CTTAAGCTCTCTCTCTTTCCTGGCCTTTTCCATCCTTCCAGAATCCTTGAGTCCAGGTTTTATGGGAAAGTGATGTATGAGAGCATTCTGTGCAGTAAGTGGGCCTTTGAGAAGATCCTTTGTGAGGAGGCAGTCCTGCCAGGACTGCTGAAAATGCCCTTGTAGCTTCATCCATGGGATTTCCCCCCTTCTTCTTTGAACTCCACAGATTTTTTGACAAAACAAAGAATAGTTGGGAAGATCGTGGCAGCTTTGAGAAAGTCCCTGGGAAATATGATATGCTGCAGATGGACTATACAACCAACACTCAGGTATACCCTAACCTTGCCTCTGGGGAAAAGCTAGTCCATCTCACTGTCAGGATGAGAGCTAGCAAAATGGCCGTGCTGTAGTCAGCACACCTTAGGTGGAGCTACCTTTTCCTCTGAGGATTGACCATTCCCTGAGGACTAGGACTCATCAATTTTTGTGACTAATAAGCCTGCTTAGTTGGGCCTATGAGAATGAGGCAGGGTAGACAGGAGGAGGGAGTAGATCTCTCTTATGTCCTCGGAGGCTATAGGGAATTTTCATTTGCTGCTTTATGGTGCATTAGGAGAAGAGCAGTATATAGAACAAGAAAGGTAGTGGTCCAATTGTACAGTGCATTGGTAAGATAACTTCTGCAGTATTGTGTTCAGCTCTGGCTACCATTCTTTAAGCAGAGGGCCATTGTCAAAAAGAATTGTGATCAGAGAATAGTGACCAGGATACTAAAAATAGCCAAAGGATTTAGAGATATTTAGCTTGTAAAAGAGGACTTGGGACTTGATAGCTATCTTCAAGTATTTGAAAAGGAAATAGATTTATTCTGTGTTGCTTTAGAGTCCAGGTGTAGGAACAATGGGCAGAAATTACAGAGGCAGATTTGGCTCAATGTAAAGAACTTTCTGAGAAGTAGGTGTGGTGGATAAAGAGCTGGCCTTGGAGTCCAGAGGATTTCGCTTGAAATTCAGCCTTAATCTCTCACTGCCCCTCTCCCTTCTTTAAGACTTCTTTACAAAGGACCTCCCCAACGGTATTGGTTGAGAAGTTCCTTATGGAGGATTGCTCATGCCAATGGTATCATAGGTCTAGACCAAAAAAAGAACTTTGTAATGATAAAAGATGTCTAAAAATGGAATGAATTGCCTCTAAACATAATGAATTTGCCACCACAGGGGATGCTCAAGCAGAGACTGCATGACTTTGTTTGGGGGGTTATGTAGAAGATTTTTATAGAGTGGATAGAACTAGATTACCTCTATAATCCTTCCAAATAGGTTCTGTAATCTGTCTCAGGGTGAAGAAGAATCAAAGGAAGGGACATTTGCTCCCATTTCACCTCCCAAAGTAGAGTGTCGGCTGGAACTTCCAGTCCAAGAGTTGATGGAGTTGATTTGCAACATTCAGACCATGGAAGAAATGATGGTGGAGATGAAGTATGATATCAAAAAAGCTCCACTGGGTATGAGCCCTGTATTAAACTCTTACTTCTTTCCCCAGTCCCCAAAGTGGAATGTTCTTTCTCCCCCATGAGTCTAGGTTGGACTTCTCTGGTAGTAGTACTGAATTGGAGGTTGCATAAGAAGGGGGAGCCTGGAATTTGTTGTCTAAAGAGAAAGATCAGAAACTCATTTAGGAAATCTGGTATTTGACTGGGCCTACAGGGAAGCTGACGGTGGCACAAATCAAGGCAGGTTACCAGTCACTTAAGAAGATAGAAGATTGTATACGGTCTGGTAGCAGCGGACGGACCCTGGTGGAGGCATGTAATGAGTTCTATACCAGGATCCCACATGACTTGGGTAAGGTTGCTTCTGGGATACCATCATCATAACGTCCCTTCAGTCTTCTATCCTTTCCATCAATGCCAAGAACTTTACCGGCAGAAGAGAGTAACTTTATTGACAGTCTCTCAGCCCTTGAGAAACAAAAGGCTTTCTTCGATCCAAAGCTGGGATTGAACAGCTTAGGAAGTAGTGAGTCTGTGAAATGCAGTCATTCTCTCGTTTAGGAATTTGAGTCTTCTTGTCAGATTATATCCCTCATCTGCTAAATTAGAGTTTCTAGGTTTAGAAAGAATGGGACCTAGCATTGTAAGTACCAGGGAAACACCCCTTTCTTTGATTGCAAGCAGATTTATTCCTTGTTATTTCCCACAGCTGTAAAAGAGGTACAGTCATTCTCCCATGAGAACCTATTATCAGGAGATGAATCACATATCCATAAGCATCCCATGTAGAAGGGAATTCTGCAGTCCTTTGTGACCCAAGCCTTAGTTAGAAAATTAGGAAGTTTTTCCTTTCTGTCTCGTCCTATTCATAGCGCCTATTTCTTCATATACCTGGAAATTCTGTTCTCAGGTTTTGATCTACTCTAAGTAATCTGGTTCCTCAGCCCACTTTTTATGGAGTTTGTTTTAGTCCTTTGAGTCATTCTTCTTGTGAACCACTAGCACTTGTGTACATAACCGTTTGCTTATATCTCTGGCCCTAGGCTCCGCACTCCACCACTAATCCGAACAGAGCAAGAATTGAAAGATAAGATACAGCTTTTAGAGGTGAGAGATGTGTGCGTTGATGGATGTCCTACTTTAGCCTTATTAGCCCCGGGATCCCTCTCTCACTGCTATCTGTCTTGTACCTTTAGGCACTAGGAGACATTGAAATTGCTATCAAGCTGGTGAAGACAGAGCTGAAGACCCCAGAGCACCCACTGGACCAGCATTATAGAAACCTGCATTGTGCTCTTCGCCCCCTGGACCATTCCTGTCATGAATTCAAAGTGACAAAAGATTTCTTCTCTTTCCCCCATTGAAAGTTCTCCTGTTTCCTTTTCCTATTATCGTGTCTGATGTTAAGCTGTAAAATCCATTAACAAAAAGAATCCATATTTTTACCAACCGCAAGATTTTTAACTAAGTGGGGTCTCTTCCTAAATGGAGTGTGAAATCTGTTGGAGACTGAGGGAGATACTTCTGCCTGCATGTGTCAAGGAGCCCATGGGGTTAGCGGTCCCAGGCTGAAAATCATTAATTTCTTCAATCTCTTCATCCAGGTGATCTCGGAGTATCTACATTCTACCCATGCTCCTACTCATAATGACTATACTATGACCTTGCTTGATGTCTTTGAAGTGGAGAAAGAGGGTGAGAATGAAGCCTTCAGGAAGGATCTTCCCAACAGGTCTGAGTTTATTTCTGGCTTTGGTATGAAAAGCTTCTGATCTCTCTTTAACTGATTTCCTAAAGACCTGAGTGTGGTCATGTGATTTGCAGAGAGGGAGGAAGGGAAACTGGAGACTTGGCCCTATCCATAGCCTAGCTGGAAGGGAAGCAACAAAAGACACAGGTTGATACTGAGGGCTCTCCCTTAGGATGCTGTTGTGGCATGGCTCTCGATTGGGAAACTGGGTGGGAATCCTAAGCCACGGACTTCGCATTGCTCCACCGGAAGCTCCCATCACAGGCTACATGGTGAGTACAGTTGTAAAGTGGATCTCTTCCTGTTCTGGTGATAATTCCTGAGGTTCCACATAGCTCTAGCCAGATACATGAAGTTAGGCCTCAACTCCCTTCAGTGGTCATGGAAATTGTGACTGTGATGTCTGGGACTGATATAAACTGAAGTGCCTTTCACCCCCAAGTTGGACTCCCGACCAAACTTCACAGTTGTTTCTTAGGCTATTCTTAGGAAGATAGAATTTAGGATCTAGATATTCTGAGCCCCTGTTCAGACAGCTAGAGCTTTTCTTACAAGGCTTTAACTTCTAAAGGCTTTTTATCAAGTCTTCTAACTCCTAAAACAAAAAACAAAAAATACCTGTTCCTTTTTTTTTTCTAGTCCTTAGAAAGCAAAAGCCTCCACTACCCTCAATATGTCCACTCAGCTAAAGTTGTAGGAAAATACAGTGAAAGCCCTAACTCCAGGGAATGAGTTGATCTTTTGTTCAAGATGTTTAAAATCTAGGGCTAGTGATATATTCAGCTATACCTTTTCTTCTATGGGCTCAGCTGCTGATATAGGCATGTATCTGTCAATTACAGTTTGGAAAAGGAATATACTTTGCTGACATGTCCTCCAAGAGTGCCAATTACTGCTTTGCCTCACGCCTGAAGGATATTGGGCTGCTGCTGCTATCAGAGGTGAGGAAGGGGCTCATCTGATAGGATGGGTGGGAGGAGAGAATGAAAATAAAAACCCTTTCCTAGGCTGTGCCATTTTCTGCTAACTGCTGCATTCAGTTGAAATGAGGCAGAGAATGATGAAAATGCCAATAGTCTTCCTTCTCAGGGAAAGCATGATGGTTTACTGGGAGTCAAAAGATCAGGGTTCAAGTTCTAGACCTGCAAATTATCAGCTCTGTGACCTCAGGCTAGTCACTTCTACTCTAACTCTTAAGAGAATCTGTTAATGGGAGAATTGGTGACTGATTCTGATAAAATCCTCCCCATTTGGTATCACCATTAGCTATCAGAGGGAAAGCATGGCACGTAAATTCCACTGACATTTTCTTTTGCAGGTAGCTCTGGGTGAATGTAATGAGCTGCTGGAGGCCAATCCTGAAGCAGCAGGACTGCTACAGGGCAAACACAGTACCAAGGGGATGGGCAAGATGGCTCCCAGTCCCTCCCATTATGTTACTCTGTAAGTAGTCACAATTATCTTGACCAGTCCCATTATTCTTTCTATTCCTTGGCCAGAAAGGTTTTTAACCAAGCCTTTCTGTCTTCTTTCCTTTGGCAGGAATGGAACCACAGTGCCCCTAGGACCAGCAAGTAACACAGGAGTTCTGAACCCACAGGGCTATACCCTCAATTACAATGAATTCATTGTCTATGACCCTAGCCAGGTTCGCATGCGATACCTGCTAAAAATACAATTCAGCTTCCCCCAGCTCTGGTGAAGGTCCTGAGATTATTTGTTTTCTACCCCCTTTAGGTTAGCTCACCAGTGACAAATCAGACAGTATAGAACTTGTGATTTTTCTGATATTTTTGTATAATAAATATATTGAAAAGCTGGCATTATGGCATCTTCAAACTTCGTCTCCAGCAGATGATTGTCTCTGTCCAACCATCTTACTCCCACGACAGAAAGTACACATGGCCCTGGGCATCTCCCACAGCCAGCTGCAGGGTGGACATAGGCCCAGGTCTTGGCTCCACACAGCTTACTGCTGCCTCACAATGGAAGAGGCCCCGCTGTAATAGACACAAAGATATAGTCTCACTTTTAAGACTTTCAGTATAGAATCTGTGAAACTGGCCAAAATACTAAGTTTTCCCTTCCCTGTGCCATCCAAGTTCCCATATCTACTGCCGTGCTCACCAGCTGTAGGTTGGGTCTTTCCCACAGCTTCACATCTCGGTCCTCAGAGGCTGTCAGCAGCAGATCAGGGAGCACATGGAGGGCTGTGACTGAACCAGAATGGATCTAAAGAGAGACAAAGCAGGGAGAGGCAGGCATGCTAAGCTTCCCCAGAGCCCTACCTCCTATGAAATCCTCTTGCTTTCTGTCTAATCTCACCTTCTTGGAGTACCGTGTCTCCAACTTCCGGAACACGAGTTCGTCATCTGTGTCCTGCTGTATGCTTCTCTGCCATATGTTGTTGGTGTTCCAGTCTCCCGCAGGGGTACGTTCTGCCATGTTCCAAAGGACCCCTTCTGAGCTGGTACACAGGAAAGCAGAGTCTGCCATTCCCAGGGCAGAGTTAGAACCAGAGCAAGCCACCTGGCCCTCAGCATGCACCTTTTCCCCTTTAGGTCTCTATTCTCTTGGATCCTTTGCTGGCTTACCAGACTCAGGCTTGGCTTGGGTTATCCACAGTGGGGTTCCTCTGGGATTTTCCAGCGCTAGATTAAAATCTTCTATAAACAACAGTGTATTTGACTCTTTCTGCTGCTGTTGAGGGACAGATGGAAACAAGCATATGTGAACACGTGTGTATTGTATTAACCAGCCAATTTCAGTCCAGGTTCAGTAATAGTTTATCTGCAGGATTCCCTGAACTACAGCCATCTGCAAACCTTAGCCACACCAAAGAAACCAAGCTTGGAGTGTCAGTGTTAGACCCTATAGGAGATACAAAGTATAAGACATATCTGTCCCCAACGAACTCTGTGTAATTGGGCAATTAACATGAATGCAAAAAGATAAATGAATCATGTATGCATATTAATCCACAAGCCAGGCACCATGCTAGGTGCTAGGGACACAAATGCAGAGAGTCAAACTATCCGTATTTTCAAGGAGCGTACACTTAGAGAGGCATTTAGCTTCCCATGCAAGACTTACATAGACATCAAGTGAAATGTCGCTTTGAGTGTTCAGGACAAATACACCATATTCCTTGTGGGTAGAAAATGTACCATACATGTTGAGATGGTGTTTTTCCCTAGAGTGAAAGGAACAGAGATTAAACTTGGAACCTTTTCCTCGAGACTCAATGGATCTGTACCCATGACTCATAAATAAGATCAGCTTTAGAGAAAGGAGACTTGTGTTATGTAAGTTAGATTAAACCTTCATACCCTGAAGGTTCTTCCCACTCATGCCTCAACTTAGGAAGAAGTAAGTGCCTAAGATCTTACCAGGACTCAGAGACAGGAGAATCTAGATTCAATAGCAGCATCCCCCAAAGTGGCTTTGCTAAGATGAGAGAGCGGCTATCTGGGGACAAGTCCATAGTGGATAGCAGAGTGTTCTTATCCTCCAGGTTCAGTTGAAGGTTAAAGCCCAGGCTGGGAAATTAATAGAGGGGAGAAAGTTGTCCAAATCCTATTGTATTCCACCAGAACCACCCCTGGGTTATACGGGGCTGAAATGGAGGTGATGAAATCCTCTTCCAGGAATCACAATTCTTCCAGGGATATTTTACCCAAATATTGAAAAGGGGCAGTGATCTGACCTGAGTCCCCTTTGCTCAGCGATTGAAGCCCCTATTACTTCCATTTACTCCATTTCACCTGAAAATATTGGGCATGAGGCCCTCCTTTTCCACTTGCCACTTGGTGAGGTTTTTGTCATTGATCAAGGCAAAGAAGGTTTGTGGAGAGGACCAGCACAGGGCACTGACTCGGCCGGGGGCCTGATAGAGATCACAAGGTGGGCTCAGTGTCTTGGGCCCAGAACCAGCCTCCCCAGCCAGCCTCCCTTTCAAACACAGGCATAACCTCTTTTCCTAGGGCACACTACTAAGCCCCAGGTGAGGCCCCAGTAAAACTGAAGCCAACTCCTACTCACTTGTGCTCTAGCCACAGCTTTGGCCTCTTGCCATAGGATTAATTCCCCAGCCTGGCTGCCAGACACAGCCAGGGAACCGTCTGGAGCCCAGGCCACAGCAGTAATGGCTGTGCGCCTCTCACGAGCACCTACATCATCTGGAGAGAAGAGACATCATCAGAGGAAGAACAAGATACACTGACTACAACACAGGCAACACTTGTTAATTTGCAACAGTGAATGTTGGTACCAGTGAAAGGACACATCCTTCTTTTTAACAATCAACTCAACAAACTTTTTGAGACTATACTTTGTCAGGGGACTGGCTGGGTGTTTACTGGAGAGCATCTGTAGTGTCAGAACGTAAGTTTAACAAACACATAAGTAGTATATAGAGATACATATGCTAACAAAGTGGGACTAGAGTTGGAATGAAAGGAGAAATGACTAGTTACTTTCCTCCTAGTCATAAGCTCCCATCTCATCTCCCAGGCGCACACTTACCCACTTTCTCTGGCACGTGCCAGAGCCTCACTGAGCCATCTTTTGAGGCAGTCAGGAGAAGACCCAAGGTCTCTGAGGCTGCAGCTGAAATGATTGCGCCACTATGTCCTAGTAGGGTATGGGTCTGAAACACCTATAGAGGAAGCAGAGATGGTAAGTAATCACAGAACTATGGTCAGGGCATCGTTATCTTGCCTCTTTCCCTCAACCCCACTGGGGACTCACCAGCAATGGATGCCACAGCCGTGTGGCTCCATCTAGTCCAGCAGTTACTACCAAGAGCTCTGACCCAGGCTGTCCAGCTGATGGGAGATGGAGACGATGGAGGGAGAAGGTCAGACGGAGGGCAAAGAAAGGAAGAAGGAAAAGGATGGAGGGAGGGAATTTTGTCACCTGTACGAGGCTCCTGGATAGCCACACAGTGGCTGATGGGTCCAGAGTGGGCAGGAATGCTTGTCAGCTCCACTCCTCGAAGGTCCCACACTTTTAGCGTTCCGTCCCGGCTCACAGATACCACGTGCTCCTCCTGCTCCACCCCACCCCACATCAAGATCACGGTTATGTTGAGGACAGGTAAGTGTGGGTTTTGCCATTGCTTGTCTCACCACCCACACACCCATTGCAACAGAAGGGAAAGAATTAGATATAGCCTTAAGCTTAAGTGATCTGGAATAAGTAATCAAATCTAGGAGGTAGTTAAGTGGACTCACCATAACAATTTAGTAATAAGTTCAATTCTGATGTATTGCTCTTCCTCTCATAAAACATCCCTTACCCTTCTTACCAGACACTTGACTCCTACCTCCCTACCCCATCCAAAGCAGCTTACAGTCCATTGGATTGTGAGCTCCTAGAGAACAAGGCATGTCTTTTGCCTTTCTTAGTATCCCCAGTATATAGTAGGTGTTTAATAAATGATTATTGACTGACTAATAAATACCCTTGAAACCTATACAGACAAATTATTCAGGACACTTGATCACCCCAATTAAACTTTAGTATAAGAGTACCCTCCAAATCTAAATTCTTCTTGAAGAGTATAGCTTATTCACCTTCCCCATGATCATTTCCCCATCATGAAGCCCACCACCCCATTCCTATCTCACCACAGCGACCACGGCGCTCACTGCACTCTGATGACCTAGAAACTGGCCAAGCTGCTGGCCAGACACTGGGTCCCATAGCCGCACAGAGCCGTCATTGGAGCAGGAGAGCTGGAAATTAGAGGTGACAGATGAGGGACATTCATGCTTTCTATTTTTATTTAGCAGTGGCTATATATAAGACATAGGGCTGTAGGCACAGTCTGTCTTCATTCCTTTTCAGAGTGGTATCCTGTTGGATACTGATTTGGCAAGAGACTAAGAGATGCCTGCTTGCCTGCCTGTCTATCCATCTGTTTAGATGAAGAGCGATCTAAAAAACTGGAAATGTGGCTGCCAATCAACTGGGGAATGAACAAATCATGAAATATGAATGTAATAGAATATTATTGTGCCACAATAAACAATGCATATAAGGCATCTGGAGAAACAGTGTGAACTGATGGAGTAAAGCAGATAAAACCAGGAAACAATGTGCACAATGGCTCTAATAAGCCAAAACAACATGGAAATGAAACCAAATGTTGTAATGTCAGAGTAACCACTCTTGGCCCTGGGTGAAAAAAGAGATGGACGTGCACCTCCCTCCTTTCCTTTGAGAAGGAGGTAATTTATGGTGCAAAATGTTATATGTGTTGTCTGACATTATTTGACAACCTTCCCATTAAGCACTTATTCTCTTCCTAACTTTCCTGTTGAAGGTAATACCATCCTCCCAATAACCCAGTCTCACAAACTAGGTGTCATCCTACACTCCTCACTCTTTCTCATCCCCCATAACCAGTCCACTGCTAAGGCCTGTTAATTTTACCTTCATAGCTTTTCTCATGTATCTCCCTCCTTTGTCTCAACATTGCCACTACACTCTAGTGTAGCCCCTTACCATCTTATGCCCGGACTATTACAGTAGCTTTCTGGTTGGTCGACCTGCCTCAAAGTTTCTTCTTGCTCTAGTCCCTCTCCACAGAGCTATCAAACAGATCTTCCTAAAGTGCAAGGCTGACCATATCACTCTCTCTCCTATTTAATAAACTCTTGTTACTTTTTAGTTGTGTCCAACTCTTCATGACTCCATTTGGGATTTTCTTGGCAAAGACACAGGAGTAGTTTGCCTTTTTTTTTTCCTCCAGCTCATCTTACAGATGAGGAAACTGCAGCAAAGTTAAGTGACTTGCCCAGGGTCACACAGCTAGTAAGTGACTGAGGCCAGATTTGAACTCAGGAAAATGAATCTTCCTGACTACAGGCTTGGCACTCTATCTACTACACCCCTAGCTACCTTCAATAAACTCTAGTAGCAACCTGTCACCTCCAAGATCAAATATAAAGTCCTTTGTTTGGCTTTTAAATACCTTTATAACCTAGCCCCCTTCTGCCTTTCCAGTCTTCTTACACCTTACCATACACCATGCACTCTTTGATTCAGTGACACTGGCTTCCTTATTGTTACTTGAGCAAGATGCTCAATCTCCCAACTCCAAGCATTTTCGTGGATGTCCCCAATGTCTGGAATTCTCCCCTCTTTATTTTCATTTCCTGCCTTCCTTCAAGTCCCAGCTATAATCTTACTTTCTACAAGAAGCCTTTCTTGATCTCTGTTAGTGTTAGTGCCTCCCCTCTGTTGACTTTCTCCATTTTCTTTTGTCTTTATCTCATTTATACATAGTGGTTTGCATGTCATCTCCCTTAGACTGAAAGCTCCTTGAGGGTAGGGGGTGTCTTTTGCCTTTCTTTGGATCCCTGGTGTTTAGCACAATTCCTGGTACATAGTAGTTGCTTAATAAGTGCTTGTTGACCTGACTTAGCACTACTGCTGTGTCATCTCCTCCTGAATATTTTCTCTTCACTTTCTCAACTGGCTTTTTATGATACTGTTTTCTTCTGGCCTTCTTCCTGCTCCTTCTCAGTCTCTTGACAGGTTATCCCTGTCATGTCTACTGTCAGTATACCTGAAGGCTCTGTCCTGTGGCCTCTCGTCTTCTTTCTCGGTAACCTCTTCATTTCCCATGTGTTCAATGACCATCTCTATACAGCTGACTCCCAGATCTACATATTCAGATCTACTCCCTCTCCTGAGTTTCAGGTCCACATCACCACCGACCTATTGGACATTTCAAACTGGATGTTCCACAGACAACTCAAACTTAACGTGTCCAAAACAGAATTCACTATCTTTTCCCTGAAATGCACTTCTTTTTCAAACTTCCCTATTACTGTTGAGAGCACTACCACCTGTCAAGTCTGCCAGGTTCTCCACCTCATCCAATCAGATGCAAAATCTGGCCACCTCTGTCTTCACAACATGTCTCACATAGGTCCCTTTCTCTCCATTCACACAGCTATCACTCTAATTCATGCTTCGTTATCTCTCACCTGGACTAGTGCAGTAGCTTCTTCATGGAGCCATCCTGAAGTTTTTCTCTCTCCAATTCATTCAGCCACCAAAGTGATTTCCCTAAAGTGAAGATCTGTCTGCATTACCCCACTGAAGTCAACAAACTCCAGGGCTTCTGATCGCCTCTAGGATCAAACATAAACTCCTCTGTTGGGCATTTAAAACTTCATACTGTGTGGCTCTGGGCAAGTCACTTAACCTCAACTGCCTCACAAAAAAAACTTTTTATAACCTGCCCCTATTCTACCTTTCCAGCCTTCTTAAAAATTCCCCTCTACATGCTATGTGGTCTAACCACATCTGCCTCCACACTGTTCCATCTCTATTTTCCTTACCTCTGTACTGACTGACCAGCTCCCAGTCCTGGCATACTCTCCCTCCTTACCTCTGCTGTCTTGGAATCTCTAGTTTCTTTCATGACTAAGTTCACACGCCATCTTCTGCATGTAGCCTTTCCTGGTCTTCCCATCCCTTCCTGTTCCCTGCTCCAGGTGTCAGTGCCTTCCCCTCCCTCTAAGGTTACAATTTATCTGCTCTATGTGTGATCTGTATATACCTGCATATGCATATGAAATCTCCCCCATTTGAATATGAACTCCTTGAGGGCAATGAATATTTAGATTTTGTTTTTATATGTTTTAGCCGACAACTAGACAAGCGTTTGTTACAATGTAGGTGCTTAATAAATGCTTGCTGGTCAGTTGGTTTTAATTGTCTTTCTTTGTGACAAGGAAGAATCCATGGTTGCTGAGAGTATATCAGGAAGTGACTAATTACCAATCAAAAAGAAGAGATATCTACCTAGAGTCAGGGAGGAACAAATGAACTCCTACAAGGGCACTCTGATTATCTCAAGCCCTGGGCCTGGAGTCAGTAAGATTTGAGTTCAAATCTAATCTCAGACAAATACTAGCTGTGTGGCTCTGGGCAAGTCACTTAACCTCCGTTTGCCTCAGTTTCCTTAACTGTAAATGAGGATAATAATAGCACCTACCCTGCAGGGTTTGTTCTGAGGCGCAAATGAGATGATATTTATAAAAAACACACCACAGTGCCTGGCTCATATAAATTCTTATTCCCTTCTCCTCCCCCTTCCCTGCTCAAAGAAGCCATGGGAGAATTTAAACTTGGAGGCGAGATTCCTGGGTTGCAGCCCTGGATCATCATCATCCATGTCATGCCCACTAACTTTGATGCCACTGTATACATGACATACAGTTTAGTCACTCTGTTTATTTGCAAATTCCTTTCCATAATGAACCCATAGGAGGTACAACTATATTCACTGCTACTAGACACAAATCTTCAGATCCCGTGGAAGCAGTGGGAACTCAGGGGCCAAACTAACATGAGAATGGCTGAAGGTGTTATGGAGTCTAACACCTGTCCGATTAAAGCATCCTTTCCTGCAGAAAGGATTTCTTACTTACCAGCATGGCATCCTTGGTCCAGGAACAGCCAGCGACCCAGTCACGGTGACAAGCAGGAAGAGAATACATCAAAACAGGAGCCTCAGGTGTCCTCACATCCCAACACAGAAGACTCTGTGAGACAGAGACATTAGGATTACGGTCAAGTCAAGAATAAAGGGACAGATGTGTTAAGGCTAGAAAGGAGATTGGCAAAGGAGTGAGGCAGATGTAGTATGAAAGGAAGGTAAGTAAATAGAATCAGATGTCTGGGACTGCTAGCACCCAGACCAGACAGAATATTAGGGGCAAAATGGGGAGACAGAGTAAATATAAATATAGATGTAGAGGTAGAGGTAGAAATGGATGTAGATGTAGATGTAGGTGTCACTATCGATATGTGGATAGAAATTCTCTATAGTATCTAGGACACGAAAGCTTGGGAAATCATTTTATTCTAGAAGTATCTGATTTCATTTTGGAACAATCTCTCTTTCTGTATATGTGTAAAATATCCTTTAGTATACTTCATACTACAAGGGTCAAATTTGCCATCTGGGAAAAAAAAGACTTCTTTGCTTTTGTTTTTCTTTTGTATTTTGATAAAAACTGAAGAAATCAGAACTGTCAAAGTTTATCTTGGGAAAAACTCAGAATTGGTTTGTTTGATGTTATGGAAACTCATGTTTAGTATTATGGAAACTCATGGCTAAGAATTGAGGAATCCAATAAGGTCAGTTGGCTACAAAGGACTAGTATGGCAGACCAAGAGTGAATGGTAGGAAAGCCAATGTGGTATTCTTTTGAGGTTTACCTGATCTCTGCTGCCAGAGGCTAGCATGCTGCCATCAGGGCTGAAGCTGCAGCAGGAGACGGGGCCTGTGTGTCCACGGAGCTCTGTACCAGGATGGAGCTCTTCTGCCATCTCTGGCTGGGTCAGGAATGGTAGTGACCACAACCGTACAGTGAAGTCCTCTGCAGCAGGCAGTGGGGAGAAAGGATACAAACTCTTAGGAAAAGAGGGAGGGAAAGAATGACCACAATGCCTGACCCCGCCCCAAGGTAAGGACAAAGAAAGAAAAATGTGTGCCAAGTCTCCAAGGACTGAGAAAAGATTTAAAGGCATAGGGAGCAAGGATAGTCAGGGAGTAAAGGTCAGGTATGAAATTCACCCTACTCCATCTATCCTTACAAGTCCAACTCATATACCCCTTCCTTCACAAAGCCTTCCCTAATCTTTCAGTTAGTATGCCCATATGACCTTCAAAGATACTTTATACCTCTCCTACATATGTATCAGGTATTATTCTGTATTATAGTTATTTATGTATATACGCTATCCCACTGCTGAACCTGATAAGTCAGGAACTATAACTTTTCCAAACTTTGTTCTCCCCCACAATCTTGTAGTTTTCTGCACCCAATGGGTGCTTAATTGAAGTAGACGGAACTGAAATGAATTTTATAAATGTATAAAACAGACTGGAGTAGTTCTATGCAGGAAAGTGGTAAGGTCATAGCTATGCACTGCAGCTAGGCTTCTAGGTTCAAAGACAAGACACAGTAAGTACCATGCCCACAGAAGGCATTTAATAAATGTATTTAATTGAATAAGTGCTATGAACACATTACAAGTAATACCCACCTAGCCCTTATCAATATTTATGCTGTCCCACTTCAACTAGATCCTCCCTACAACTTGGTAATTCTTCAGTTATTGATGCTACAGTGACTCTTCCAGAGTTTATCCTCAGACTCCCAATGCCAACTCTCGACATCACTCTGTTCTTAACAGATGCCTCTTCCTTCATTGAGATGAATGAAGCCATAGGGCATGAAGTGCCTCCTATACCTTCATCTGGACTATAGTAACCTCTTTCTTCTCTCTTGCCTTAGAAGAAGAGCTCTATTTCCTTCCCAAAACTAACTAACCTCTTCCTATTTGTATAAGTCTACCTGACTTATGGGGATCAAGAATAGGTCTCCATATCCATGACTATTCCAGATATCACATGCCCAGCCCATGAACATTTCCTCTGCCCATTTCTTTGGCTTACCTGAAGCAGAGGCAAAGAGTTCCTGGGAGGTAGCTAAACCCAACACAGCCTTCTGGTGTGCGGGTAGAAGCCAGAGACAATGGGGAGTTACATCTCCAAGCGTCCAGCATTGAAGATTCCCATCTTCTCCACCACTCACCAGGACCTTGTGGTTCAACCAGGCCAGCGCAGACACTGCCACATCTGACACTGGGCATCGACCTTCCTCAGTACCTGGACAAAGAGAGAGCAGCTAGAGTAGGGCTCAAAGCTTGACCCCACCACAGGCTCCTATGCCAAGTATCTTCTGTCCTTTTCCCATTCATCTCTCCTGCTACCCCAAATCCCAATACCTGAACAGGTACTGTAGATTATGATGCCATCTGTATGGTGACCAACAGCCACATGAGCCCTATCTGGACTGATTGCCACAGAGAGGGCAGGCGAGAGGGGCAAGGAGCCCAAAGCCCCCTTGGGTCGGCCCAGGAATCCTGACCACACCTGTATCTATAGCCCAATATAAAAAGTGACACCAACAGATTATTCAGCACACAAAGAAAGCTTGCTCCCCATACCTATAGATCAGAAATTCTTTGGGCACCCACTTGGAACAAACCCTGCCCTTGCCCACAGATTCCATTTCTCCTGAGTCACTTTCTCCAACAGAGGCACTCTTCCCAGGGGTCTTTCCCACTCAGGGATACATCTCCACAGAGATTCTCCTACTGAAATTGCAGAGACTCTTCCCCAATAAAAAGAGACACAAAGATCCTATTTTGCCTCCCTAATGCCCCAAGGCCTACAGAAAATTCAGCTCTCCCTCTTAGGGGCTCTCCTCTCCCTGCCCCTCCATCTGGGCCACCCAGGGGCTGACCTTGCCGTCCTCCCCAGCAGTTATCAGCTGGTGTCCAGATTGAAGAAAGAGAGCAGAAGCAGCATATCCCTCGTGGGCGGGGAAGGCAGCCAGTCGTGCACCCTTCTGCCAAGCCCACAGTTCAACAGACCCATCCAGATGGCTGGCAGCTAAGACTGACCCAGAAGGGGCAAATGTCACAGCACGGACTGAGGACCCTGGGCCCCCCAGCTCCTGCAAGTTTAGGAAGAAAGGAAAGAGGGTATCATGGGAGCACTTTCCACCCTACCCCTTTAGTATACTAGACCTTCAGATCCACTCTTCCCTTCCATACTAGTCCTTCTCCTCCCTCTCTCCACAAAGACTAACACTTTCTCACCATAGTTACTGTGACGCTGTCCAGTCGCAGAACACTTAGGCGCCCAGCCCAGTTTCCTGTGATGATCACGTGCCCCTCAGGGTGAAAGGCAACACAGTTCAGGGGCTTCTGGGACACGTGCTGGGCAGCTAGCTTTCCATGAACTGTGTCCCACAGCTGCAGATAGGGACAATAGGCATTAGGTACAATGCACTAGGCCCTGAGGTCCCCACATCCAGACACACTTTCCTAATTTGAGCTCTCAGAGGATCCAGAGGTCATTCCATCTACTCCCTTGCCTCTTTGAAATCTGGCTCTTCTCCTATCAAGGCCATGTCCGGCCCAGAAGAAGCATTTTATTCTGAACCAAGAGATCAGTTCTGCAGGCTATCTCCTAGTCAGTTTGTTATCCCCTGAGACAACTAGATCTTTTTCTATCTCCAACCCAAGATCCTCAACTTTACCTTCAGATGTCTATCCAGGGACACAGTAGCCAGTAGCCTGCGATCAGGGTTCAGGCAGCAGTCAGTGATCTGAAGCTGGTGGGCTTTGCTCTGGAACACCCTGAGCCCAGGAAACTCAAGTCAGGCCTGTGGATCTCCTCCCCTCCCTCGTTGAGCTCTCTGGCTCTACTACTTCCCTCCCCCCAACCCCTGGCATCCTCCCACTACCAATCTTCAGGTGATTTCAGTCTAGACTTTAGAGAAGGAAAGACTAAAAGGTAGGGGGATTATATTAGTAAGGTTCTCAGTTGGTCTCTGGGGAAATTGGAAGTCTTACCTCCAACCACCCTGGAGGTCCCAGAGCTCCAGGAGACCATCCAAGGCTGCGAGGAAGAGAGTGGTATTCGAGGGGCACAGACAAGAAGCAATTCCACCACAGCCACTCACTATGGACTTCTCCTCCTGTGGATACACTGAAGCTCTGCTTAGCTCATATTCTCATTTTGTCACATTCCTGACTTTCAATCTTAAAAAGGTATCTGAGACAGCATAGTAATTCTCTGTACCAGGGCACTCTGAGCTCTTCTGTACTCAGATGACTGTCCTGACTAAAGGATTCTCAGCCCAGTCCTAGGTCACTCCTCTTTGCAAGAATCTTGGGTCTTCTCTCAAGTTAGAGTGGTCATAAAAACTCTGAACCAGGACCCTGGGACCTACCTACCTTGCCAGTCTTCTCTCCTACTTATGTGAGCCCTCCACTCTACTCAGCCAGATCCACTCATTGTCCCCTCAACATGTCATGGCCATTTCCACCCAAGTAGGTCCTATCATCCTAGAACTCCACCCATTGATAATTGTATATGCCTGGAATATAATAGGTACTTGGCAAATGTCCATTTGGATTCATTTGAATCCTCTGAGGACCAGCCTAGCTAAGTTTGGAGCAGTTCACCACCAGAAGGCTGGTCATAGAACAATATAATGATGGGCCATTGCAACTGAGGAAGACTATTTACAGGGTTTTATTGGACCTGGGGCTATGGTGTGTGTGTGTGGCGGGGAAGTGGGGGTGGATGTTGGAGAAGTGGAAGATTCATTGGGATGTGACAATGATCTAAAAAAAGGAAAGGGCATCAAAAATATGCTAAGAAGGCACAAATTCATTAACTGCATCAGTAAAACGAATACCCACAGAGTGCTGAAATTATACATCTTTGCTGTATTGTCATATAGTAGTAGTCATCTTTTTTATGGTCCTACACTATCATAATGTCTTGGAATTCAGGGACCATATCTTACTCTCCTTTGAATCTCTCCACAGCCTTTTAATAGTTTTTTTTTTTTAACATTTGTCACTTGCTCAATCACTTTCACTGATTGATGAATGATTCTAAAAAGTCCATGTCCCCTGGCCCTCAGGATTCTAGGGCTGAATCTGTTGAAAAGGCAGGAATGACATCATCCCAAGGTGAATTTGGTTGTCACTTGGTTTATAAGAGTAGTTTGTGGAGCCATCCTGAAGGACTCTGGCTGTTCCCCCAACTTCTTCACTCCTTCCTCCCATGGCTCTCCTACCTGCCAGGTGCATGTATCCAGCAGGTGAACAATCCCACTGGCAGTAGCCACAATTGCCCGTTGTCCATTGGGGGAAAGACCCACAGCTGTAGGAGTCGAGGGAGGTACCAAAGACAGGCTGGAACTACGAAGGAAGTGTGAGAGAGGGAGAAAGAAGGGGAGAAGAAAGAAGGGGAGGAAAAAGGAAGAGGAGAAAGGAGGAAAGGCAGGAAGTGAGGGAAGGAGGAGAAGTAGGAAGGGAATGAGGGAAAAGGGGGAAATAGAGATGAAGGGCAGGAGGAGACAGATGGAAAGGAAAAAGGGGAGAGGGAAATGGGGAAGGTGAGGGAGAGAGTAAACAGAACATTCCAATATGTACCAATATATTAATACACAGATATGGAAAGATAACTCACACTCTTTTCTTCTCAACAATTGGGGTCTGTTGATCCGATCCTATCTATTATATAAATGAGTACCTTTGTCATTCCAGAGTACCCTCTTCCTGTGTCTAATGTGTACCTCAGTTATCCCTCCTATTTTTCCCTCTTTCCTCTACTGCATGACTTTCAAGACTCTTGTCACCCTCCCTTTCCAAACCCCCTAGATTCAATGGCTGAGGCAGGGGCTTAAGTCTTCCCTACCTTCTCAATACCATTACCCCACTCTTCATGAATCATCATTTGCATTCCAAGGCCTCTGGCTATGTAACCCCTTTTTTAAATCTTAGCCACCATCATCTCTCTCTGTGCCTCACCTACCCACCTATTCCCACCATCTTAAAAGACTCCAGTCCCTAACTCAAGTCCTCACTCTCCAGTATATCCCCTATAATATGAGCATCCACATTGATGACATTTGATACTCTCACCTTTAGGTTCCCTGCCTTCCTTAATTAACTTCATTCAATGCCCTTGAGAACTATATGCTAGCCTACCTTATAGAGTTGTTGTGAGGATCAAATGATTTAATAAATGTAAAGCCCTCCAGTAGTGTGAGTTTTCTTGAATGTACCTATTTTTTTTAGTTTTTCTTTTTTTTTCTTTCTTTCTTTTTTTTTTTTTTAACTTGGAGGCAATCAGGGTTAAGTGATTTGCCCAGGGCCAAACAGCTAACAAGTGTCTGAGACCAGATTTGAATTCAGGTCCTCCTGACTCCAGGGCCTGTTGCTCTATCCACTGTGCCACCTAACTGCCCTGGCCTATTAATTTAAATGTTGTTGCCCCCATTAGGATTAGAGCTCCTTGGGGAAGTGGGGAGAGGGCAATTGTTTTTGCCTTTCCTTGTATCCCTAGCACTTGGCACAGAGTAAGCTCTCAATAAATGCCTGTTGTTTTTACCATTGAGGTTGGGCATACTTGCAAGGCTCTAGGGATATAAAAACAAAATGACCCCTGTCCTTAGGGAGTTGATTGTCCTCCTCGGCAGATGTCCATGTTTGTCCCAAGTCCATTAGGCACCAACATGACCACACCCCGTATTTCATTATTAGCAGGCACTCTTGCAGCTCCGAGGTATCTCCACATATAACTGCTTCATGTGCCATTTCTTCCAATGAATCTATTCTCTACTTGCTACCTCTCCTACTCTTCCCTCAAGAGTACTAACCACTTGGTAGCTATCCTGGGTTTCTTCTTTATCATCAACTCTATGACCAATTACCTCAGTACTGTCCTGTCCAGGACTGTGGTCTGTGTGCCCCCCTGGTCTTCCACCAAGGCTACCTATAATTCTGGACTGCCCCCATCCTCCCAAGCCTGCTACTTGGACATCACTGGCCCAGCAGAGATTCATAGAGCAGTGAAGGTGATACCTTTGCTGAGCTCCCATGGTCTGTGGCTTGTTAAGCCAGTGCAAGATGGGCTGGGAGGACCACGGCTGGGCAAGTTTTGGAACCTGGTGGCAGATAGGTGAGTCTGAGGGTTGGTTGGTTGCCTGCTGGGCCAGGAGTGCTGGGTACTGGGTGAGGAGCTTGGATTGCTGCTTCAGGAATGTGTGAAATGTGGCAACATCTGGGTCACAGGGTGATGCTGCTGAAGGGACTGAAGATGCTATCCAAAGGAAAGGAAAGTCAAGGGAACAAGCATCACTGGACAATCGCTACCTCACCCCACCATGTCCAGAACCAAAGGAAAAAGGCAGCAGGCCTAGACTACCAAGTACATCAAAAAAGGAGATGGGCTAGGCTTCTCAAAAAGTCCTCTTTGTGGCCTTGAGTTTTATCTGTGGAAAATAAACCCTACTTGTCCTCCCCAGTGCTTATTGCTCTCCCAGTAGCATCCTCAAGACTAGACTCCTCCCCACCCAATAATCAATGAGTCAATAAATAAATATTTGTTAAGTACCTATTATGCGCCAGGCACTGTGCTTAGCTCTAGGGATAAAAAAAATAAGGGCAAAAGATAGTGTCTTTCCTCAAGGAGCTCATAAGCTAATGGCTCTTCTGAGGTGGAAGAGAGAAGATGGAAGACCTTGTGTTCTTTTATGTTCCTAAGGGATCCAGTTCTTGGGCCCTTTTATAAAAAGAAGCTATCCTTAACTTACCATAAAGGGCATGGGCCTCCCCTAGCTGGGAGAGTAGGCCCAATTCTAGGTAGGTAGCCATAACATTGAGGTTGGTAAGCAGGGAAGCAAGCAGAGAATGGTTCCCACTCTGTACCTAGGGAGTGACAATCAAGGTCAGGGTTAGATATTAGCAGTAGATATGATAAAGAAGAACAACATTTACTCAGCTGAGACTTTGGACCAGAAAAAGTAATCAGGATGGTGAACTTACAGGATATCATAAGGAGGAAAAGTGAGGTGAGTAGGGAGTTCAGGCGTTTGGGAGGTTCCTAGGGACTTAGAGAAGGTCTAGAGTGTTTGCATGGAAGTGGATGAAATGGCTTTACCAGGTGGTAGGGCAGATCATTCAGGGCCTCAGGGTTGCAGTTATGGAAGGTACTCAAGTCATCAGGGTCACACATCCTCCAGAGCTGAACTGCAGGGGGCAGATGAGGGGAATATCCAATAAGTTAGATATAGCTCAGGGATTGGAAACCAGCACCTGGAACTGTTCCTTATCCCACTGGACAGTGAGCTCCTTAGCAGCCCCTGGCCAATTTCCCTTGGGACATGAGAAGTCCTTAGTCTACCCACTCAGATTCTAAAAAGAAGGGGATTTGATCAGAGGCTCCATAGGATATATGATTTTCCTAACCCCAGGTCAAGATCACCCTTATTTAATGTCCTGCTTTGACTGCTCCATTCTGATCACCTGCAATGAGGACATGTGCTGTGGTCTTCAGGCCAGGTCTCTTCCTATAGCGCAGTTCAACTGCTGAACTTAGGGGCCCAGGAGGGAGGCGTAGCTGGGCTCCAGGAAGTTCCAGGGACCCTACTCCCAGCAAGCTGGCCATCACAAGGAGTAAAAGTAGGAGACAAACAGTGAAGATTTTGACCAAGCTCTGGGGAACATGTACCACCTCACACTGGAGGGAACCTTATATACTGGGTTTCAACCCTGTCTTGGGAGAAGAGGAGTTTGGGACTGAAGTCAGAGTGGTTTGTAGGGGATCTCTTAGATGGGAAGACGACCACATGATACCAAGAAGAGTAGGCATGGTTTGAGTTGGCAGGGGCATCTATTACCTGCGCAGACTGTGGACGAGGTAAGTAAAGGGACCCATAGGATAGGGGTCTCCTTTATTTCTAGCCGCCATAGCTTCTGCCCAACCAACAGTCTCCAAGGGTAGTGCCCGCCATGTACTTATCACCCCATGAAGCTGGTCCATTGTTAGACCTGCAATCCAGTATAACTTTCAATCTCCCCACGGTGTCTCCTAAGTCCTTTACTAAATCCCACAGTGTCCCCATTCATCCATTAACAAGTCTATAGTGGCTCAAATCTCTCACCAAGCCTACAAAGAGAACCCTCCCCAAATCCCCTGAGGAGACCACCCCCATTTCAAACTTCACTCTAATCTCATTCCTCCCTCTGCCCTCAACTTAATTCTTAGCACCCCTCTCACAGGCTGGGCCCCAAACCACCCTTCTACCAAGTGCCTCCCTCGTTTGTCCTGTCCCTGAGGACTGACCACTGCGTGTGACATGGAGGGCAGCCAAGGCAAGAGGCAGAATGTCAGAGCCATGCTCCTGCTCCAGGATGGCTAGCACGTGCTGGAGCAGCAGAGGCACAGTGGCTGGTAGTGTCCGAAGTTGCTCAGACATCTAGGAAAGAGTCCAGGGGTCAGAATGTGTTTGTTAACGTAAAACAGGTGATATAGGAAGGACTGGAGTGGGGAGAGAACATGGGAAACAGAAAGGATATAAAAGGGGGATGGGGATATAGGAAAGAGAAGAGGGGATAGAGTGGAGAGCTAAGGGATAGGGAAGAGAATAAAGAAATCGGGTACATGAATGGTTGGGAATGAGGGAATAAAAGTCAGAAGATGAGAATGGACTACTCGTTATGGAGTGAACGGAAAACAATGGCCATGAAAATGGAAGGCAGTGGAAAAGGGAGTTATCTCCGCCCCTGACCTGACCTGCTCATACAGTATGAAGAGGCGAAGATGATCTGTGGCCAGGCGCAAGTAAAGAGGCAGAGCCGCACCTCGCTTTGCCAGCAACAGCCGCATCTGGAGAGACGTAGGTGAAACTGATGAGGAGGATGGACTAAGACCTCTCTTCCTGGTCATCCTAAATTCTGCTCTTCCCACATCCCTTCCACCACAATGCAGACCCCCTGAAGAGAGATCTCTCCTGCTTCCACGCTCTTAAACAATGGGACTATCTCACACCACGTCACACAAATCTGTCCAGCATCTTCCCTACTGCCTTAAAATCTTGTCAATTAGGCAACAGAAACATAATGGCCAAGGGCTTAGTCACTTCTCAGTGTTGGAATTGCTCAGATGAGGACATACCGAGACTCCTAGCACCACCTGGAAACCTGAGACAAAGCTACTAAGCTGAAGCAGCTCTCCTCTCCTTGCATTAGAGTCAACTAGACTATGAGGGCTGCAATGCATGCTGTCATTTCTGATTTGTCACTATTATGCTCCTTTCCCCTAGGTTTGCTATTCAGGATTTCTAAAACTGCAAATGCTATCTCTTTTAATAAATTGACATTGCTTACTAAAATATGGATCAAGGAAGAACTGTAGCCCCTTCCTTCCCTAGCTTCCTTCAAGGGCCAGCTAAGATCCCTTTGTCCATAAGAAGCCTTTTCTGGTCCCTGTTAATGCTGGTGCCTTTTCTCCGTTGATTACCTCCAATTTATCCTGTCTCTAGCTTGCTGATACATAGCTGTTTGAAAGTTGTGTCCCCTGTTAGACTGTAAGCACTTTGACAGCAGAGACTGTCCTTTGCCTTTCTTTGTATCCCTAGTGCTACTAAGAAAAGGTCCCTGTAGTTCTGGTCCTCAAAATCTATCACTATATCCACATGACCTCACTCTTATATTAGCCCCCAGGCTCCCTATGTACTCATCCCATCATTCCAAGGGCTCCCTGCTCCCAACCTGATTGTTGAAGGATGTCTCCTCCAGCCGCTTTCCATACAGGGCCAGTTCCTGCCTCACCAACTGGGCTCGTGCTGTTGGTTCCAGGGGTCTTAGGGCCACCACGTGAGCATCTCGACGACATTGAAGGATATCCACCAACCCTGTGTTTGCTGACATACTCATGACTAGGTGCACTTTCTTTGAGAGATGAGAGAAAAAGAGTGAGGTGGTGAGGTGGTCCTTGCACCCCGTAGCCACTCAAAATAATCCCGAAATTCCTTTACTTACTTCATCTGTTAACTTCCCTATCCCCCAGCACATACCCGAGGCAGGATCTTTGGAATCCAATCTGAGATCAGTTGACCACTTTGGTCCCCTAGTTGGTCAGCTCCATCAATGACCAGCACTAGAGTCTGGCCAGAGCGTAGGGACTGAGCAGATTTGGGAAGCAGGGTTTGCAGCTCCCACACCAGTCCCCTGCATGTGGAGAGAGAAGACCCCACAGATACCTGAGTGCAGCAAGCTGGGAAAGATGGCAGCCTCCTGTCCCAACAAGGGATGCCACTTTTACTACTTGTGCTACATGGAGCAAGTCACTTAACATCTTGGGACCTCAGTTTCCTCATCTACATAATCAGAGGGTTGGATGAGCTCTTTACCTCTAAATCTATGATTCTGTGGTCCGAGAGGGTGAAGAAATGCTTAAGAGGGAAGCTTACCGGTAGGTAGATGGGAAAGGCCCGGAGCTCTGAAGCTGACGTGCAGGTAAGTACAGAGGCGTCTGAGCAAGGTGAGGACATGGCTTTGATCAGGACGGGCTCCGATGAAGTGGAAGAATACGTGGGAGCCCATGGTGACCCCACAAGGAGCCTGTAAGGCTGATACTAGGGATGACTATGGAGGTAGGAGAGGAGAAGCTGTAGCCAAAGACTTATCTTTAAGAGTCTTGCGTCCTTCTTTTCTCTTGACCCAGCACACATAACTCCCATCACCCTCCTTCCTCCCAACCTCAACCCTGCCCGTACCAGGAAGGCTGTCTTGCCCTGTCCAGGTTCCCCGGTCACTAGGCACAGACTACCACTGCGTTGCTGTAGGTGCCGGACAGTATCCTTCAGTAGGCGGGGCCGAGCTGGACTAGGTGGACACTGTAGCTGCTGAAAGGCTGACTGTACAGTGTTATCATTCTGAGTGGACTCAGTCTCTTCCATTCCTGACTCCAGCTAGGACGTACATGGAGAAAAGAATCTCAGGGTGAAGGGCATAGCTGTCCTCCATCTCTAGAGTCTGGCATCTGCTCCATGGTTCCCTTGCATCAACCTACCAATCACCTGCTATAAACTTCCCCAACACCCCAATGTATATGTTGTTTGTCATTTCAGTACCACCTCCCAGCCCCCTCCCAGTGATCATCACTGACCTGTAGATAGAGTCTCTGAAGCAGCTCCCACACATGTTGTAACACCACCTGTCCAAACTCTTCCAGTCCCTTCACATACGGCCGGCCTGCAGCCACTCCACCCCACACACAAGAGTACCTATAGGCAAAAGGAGCACCACTCAGAGCCCAGTCCCCGACCCTTCCTCCGTACCACCCACACTGCAGGTCTTCTTTACTCCCCACCCCCAATCCAGAGCAGGTGCTGCCTCTTCCATCTTACCTGTGGCAGGTGACACCCTCCTGTTTGTCCAGGTAGCTCTTCAGTTCTGAGATTCGCTCTGCAGCCTCTTCTGACTCAGATGCAAAGTCAGTTTTCCAGGCATCTGGCACAGAGCTGGCCAAGCAGAGACATGCCCCAACCCAAATTATAAGACTAGAACCCAGCTTCCCACCAGAGAGGATGGAGATCCCACAGAACACCACCATGCTTTGAGATATGCTGTCTACTAATCCAAGGCTATCCTGGGTCTACAAAGAGAAGCCATGTGCTCTTCCTGTCCTTCTGTTCCTTTTTCTAGTATCACAGCCAGAAATGCCTATAGAGTGATCAGGAAGGAATAGCTTCCAGTATTCAGGATATGCTATGGGTGAGAGAAAGGGGGCAGTACCCAAAAAACTAGGCTCAGGGTTTCTGTGGAGCTGAGTCCTGTGGGTAGCAGACAAGGTACCTGAGGAAGCTGGAGTCTCTTAGGTAGATGAGAGCTGGGGAGAAACACTGGTGGCGGGAACCTCTATTTAAAAATTGCATCACCTCCATCTCAGTCACAGAACGGCCAGATGGATAATCCTTTGCCTGAGAGATGGGAAGAGAGAAGACTTTATTCTGGGCCAATGGATGCCTCCCTTCCTCAAGACCTTATTCGAGAGTCTAGGCAGGTTCCCATATTCCTTTAGTAATCTTCCTTTATAGAGGCTAAGGGAAAAAAAAGCCAATAGACCCTTCCAATTGACACATAATCCTTAAGAGGAAACCCTTATTCTAACATGTTTCTTCCTTCCCAAATATGCCCTTCATCCTAGTCTTAGCGCCGTAGCACCTACATAAAATCCTCAGGAGAGGGAACATAACATAATGGCAGAGTGCTAGGTCTCGAATCAGAAGACCTGGGTTCAAGTCCAGACTCTGCCACTTACTACCTGAATAACCTCAGGTAAGTCACTTAAATCAACTCATCTCCATTTCCTCATCTGTAAAAATGAGGGGGTTGGACCTCCATAGTCCCTTCTAACTCTCAATTTGTGAAACTATGAGGCCAGCAAGACCTGACCCCTCCTCCTTGGCCTAAATCCTGTATTTTTGGTTCCTTTCTCCAGCTGCCTTACCCAATGGAAGTGTGGATGGTCAGGGAGGCTGTAGTTGGGAGGAACATAGCCATAGCGGGAGCCCAGGATCCCCACAAAGAGCTGTGAGTTTTCCACCTCCCCTAAGCATAATTCCAATTGTCTACAGAGAAAAAAGGGAGAAAGAAGGGGAATTACAACAGATAAGGAGAGTCATGGGATGGGGGGAGAGGAGAAGAGAAACAAATTAATATATGGGAATAACAGTGTTAAATAATGGAAATGGAACAAGATCCATCAGTTACAGGGAAGACAAAAATGAGGTAGGGAGAGAGCTAATTGTAGAGTGGCAACTCTGGAGTTAGATAACAGATAAGAATAGATGAGTACCCATATTTCCTCAATACCCCCAAACGCCTACCCCACCTATTTTGTCTCACATATCTACATGTATCAACTCCAAAATACCCTAAAACTCCCATGCCCTGACCCTTTGTCTCCCACCTTTTCCAGGCACCCACCCCTAGTTCATGTGGGTCTCCTCCAAAATCCCTCAGCAGCCCATGTGTTTCTGGTATTCCAGGACCACATCACCTATCCATTTCCCTTACCCCACTGCACACACCTGTCTTTTCGGGTCTCCTCCTCAGTAACTCCCCAGCGCAGGTCAATGCCACGTACATTGATTTGGTAGGGGGCTGCACGGGCCTGCAAGGCTGGTAGCACTGAGCGCAGCAATAGGTCCCGTTCGCCATGCATATCCCGAAAAGTAGAGGAGATGAAAATACGGACACTGCGCCAGCTGGAGGCAGAGCAGGGCACAGGGCTCAGCATGGCTCAGTTTAGAGATTACTCCGCACCCAAATCCCAAAGATGCTGCCAGGGCCCTAGGCTAGCCTTAGTCAGAAGTAGATCTGGGACCCAGAGACATCAGTCAATGGGTATAAAAGAAGCCAGAGAAGAGTTCTTTTGGGAATCACTTGTCTATAGTCTTGGCTTTGGAAACAGGATGTAAACCTTACTTTTCCCTCCCAGTATTTACTGCTTTCTCTATATCTTATACAACTCTCAGCAGATATTTGTAGCATGGGTATAAGAAGGGGATCTGATAGGAACCTTACCCTGGATCTTATAGAAGGGGTTCATCCCCACCCAGAAATGAGAAGCCATGACTCTGTGCCCAGGAAAAGGCATCACTTCCAAAGATCCCTTCGCACGCCAGAGCACATCTGCCTTCTTGGTTTTCCCAATCCACCCTACCCAGACTAACCTATGCTGGGGAGCAGGGGCCAGGGGGCCTGGTACCCTGTCCTCTAAGGGCCTATCAAGTGGAGTCTGTGCCTCCCCTCTCTGGGGTGGGATCTTGAATATCTTATCCATTTGGCCCACATGTTCCAGCAGACGAGACATCCCACGTTCTGAAATAAACCTAAAACATATAACAATAAGATAAACAATAGCCAAAGGGATTGAGGGGAACAGTGAGAAATAGAGTACTAGATGGATTTCCCATTGATCAGGGGCTAGCAACTGTAAAGGATCCAAGGAAGGACTTGTCAGCAGATGAACAACACAGCCTATTGGTCCTGGCTAAAAAGAGCATCAGAGTATCAGACCATGCTTCTCATAGTCATCAACAGATTCACTCTTTAGGTAATGGCTATTGTGAGTATAGGAAGGAATAGTAATTGAGGTTAAATGAGTGTGTGGTCAGGTCTGTACAGCTTAGAATGTCTTAAAAAAGAAGACATTTCATTAAGATTTAAAGACAGTGCTGGAAGGGGAATGACTTAAGAGATGCTGGAGTTTCAGAGGAACAAAAATAGGCTAAAAAATGAGGCTCAAGAAAGATGAGCTCAAGCAAGGCTGAGAGTGATGGAGAAGTTTATAATTAGGAGCTGGGCTTTAATATGGATGGGGAAAGGAGTGTAGACCACTAATAGCTCATGAGTCTCCCTAATCCCCCTTAGCCCCTTCCCCTCCCATCCCAATACCCAGGGCTCACTTCAGTATTCCATCGGTGCAGCCTGTGAGGATGACATCATTAGGGTTCATACTGGGTGAACTGGAAGGGGGAAAAAGAGAGATACTGATAAAATATGGCCCAAATGAGGAAAAACTGTAATAGCAAAAACCATCCAAAATTTGAAAGGGCTGCCTTCAGAGCGAGTTTCTCATCAACACAGGACTCCATTGCAGAGAACTTGTCAAGGTTGTTACAAAGAGGATTTATTCTTTTGGTAGGTGTCTCATGTAACTCTGCATGTACTTTCTACAATACTACTGTAAAGGGAGGAGGCATGGGATTCCTTGCCCCAAGTTCAGTTGATGCCAGATAGAATGTAGTCATATAGGATGGGGTTATTTAACGTGTAAATCAGATGTGTCTATGCTGTGGTCTTTTTGTTAGGTGAGAGAACATCTTTCTGATTGGGTTAAGAAGAGAAAAATGTGGCTCAGCAAACTAATTAGTCATACCTCTGGCTCTAACTAGCTAAACCTTTGGATGAATTTCAGAGTTCAGAGACTTTATAAAGTAAGAGCCATCTGTGGAGTAGACTTCATACAGTAGGTAAGGAAAGAATTTTTCAGTCCTCTTTCCCTACACACTGGTCACATTGCTTTGAAGGGGAGCTACTGGACCAGTAGGAGACATAGAATCTGTGGGGAGACATACCCTCCAAACAGACACAGATATAGAGAGGACTGTCCCCTGCAGGAGAAAGCAGTTTCAAGGTGCTAGATAGAAACAGACCCTGGGAACCCAACTGCACAATCTACTCCAGAAAGATTTTAAATCTAGGGAAAGCTATGTGAGTACTCCATGAAGAAAGAGAGGTCTTCCAGGCCTGTGATGCCAGGAGTTGTGAATTGCTTTTTGCTACATCACTTTATTATAAATTTGAGCCCACTATTCCAATGGACATGATATATATTTGCGGGAGACTGTACTCCAGAGGGGGAATGATTTATAACTACTATTTTTGTTATGCCACTTGAGTAAATGCTTTAGATAAGAACAAATTTAATCTACTGACTGGTGGGCCTTTGTGAACAATAGTGTTAGAGGTAGAGAGTTAGTCCCAGAAACAGAGCTACTCCACAGCAGATACAATCCTTGAGTGCAAGCTGATCGGGTAGGCAGGGGTGGTACTACACTATACTACCAGAACCCGAGAAGGGCACCCTCTGACACACCAAGACACTATGTCTTGAGAGGATATGCAAAGTGAGACTGAGACTGCATGGGCCCAGATCATAGTCCAATATGGCGTTGCAGACCCCAGGGAAATTTTTTTTTAAACTTGTGGTAGGGCAGTGATAAAATATAGAGTTTGGGAGTTGGAGAATGAGGTCACTGGATAGATAAAAGAGATAAGAAAAGACTCAAGGGGACAGAAAAGTTGGTTGGGAATAGGAGGACCTATGACAAGTAATAATAAATTGTGTCCTCCTTGCATCAGGTGATTAGTGAAAGAAGGATGCAAGGAGAACAAATAGACAGATAGCCTTACCCAGAACGCATCCCAGTTAAATCAACTTCAACAAAAAGGCATTTGGGATTCACACGCCGCCAGAAGAACTGCTTGGCAGACATTAACGCAGGGCCAATCATGTTGTCACCAACAAAGATAACTGTGTCTACCTGCAGAATAAGTAGTAGGAGTGCATATTAAAGGGAAGAAAAAGTTAGAGGGGCTTTGTTGGGGATGTGGGAGAATTGATAAAGTGTAAAGAAGAGAGTTTGGGGATCTGTGGAAACTTTTCTGGGAAGAGAAATCCAGATATTCTCTCTTGACTCAAGAGCAATGCAGTTGACATCCCACTTAGGAGCACATAAAGGAAAGGGGTAAGGTAAGGAAAGAGTTGATATAGGAAGTACTAAAGGACAGCACACATTTGAGTCTAAAGGAGAGATGTGGAAAAGCTGGAGTTAAAATATGAGGGTCAAGAAAATGGTGTATCAATAACTTGAGTTAAGAAGTTTGGGACTTGGAGACAAAGGTTTACTTTCTCTGAGTCAGACTTACCAGCACCTGCTCAGTGACCATGTCCAGCATGTATGTAGCAAATGGATGATCATTTGGTTTTGATTTCTTTACATCCATGTCCTGGGACAAACAGGATCAGTATTTGAATCAAGAAGAGAAGAATGAGCAGGTTGGTCACTCAGGCCACCTCTGGTACATATCCATCTCTCTGTCTATTCCTACCCATAAGGGCTATTTCAGGTCCATCCATCTATCTATCTTTATGCTCATCCAATCAGACTGTCCTTAGGCCCACCTGCTTTATCTATCTTTCCTGTACCAACCCATCCAGACTTTGCCCAGGCCTTTGTCTATATCTCCCCTCCACAAACCCTACCCAGCAGAGTAGTCAGGCTCACCTCTATCTGTGTCTTGAGCTCAGTTGCAGTCTTCAGGATGCCCTCTTCTGGATTAATCACAGCTTTCTTCAAAGCATGCCTTTTATAAAATAATAGCTCAGCTTGCTCAGCACGGGCCATAATCATTGCTACCAAAAGCAGCACATGATTCGGGGGATTCTATTTGAGTGAATAGAGGAATAGAAAGAAGGTTAATTCCCTATTCTAAAAACAGACTCCTTCCATAAGTAATGGTGACTATGGAGAGCTCAAAGAAGCACAGGAAGACATATGAAATGATGAACAGAGAAAGTAGAAACAGAGAACATTCTACATTTTGATAAATAATATGGAATCATCATACATTTAAAGACATTAACAAGTGACATATTCATGTTGTATATATATGCAGTGAAGAAGTCCAAAAGGATCAGGAAAACCAGGATAATGTAATATCTATATTAAAAAGTTAAGACATATAGCTTTTGGGGAAGGGCTAATATTTGGCAAATAATAGAAGATTGAGATCCTTTGTACAATCATTTACGATATGTTAGGGTTGTGAAGGGTAGAGGGCATTTCAGGATGCATGTTCATCTTTCTTAATTTCTTTTCTTGTGTCTTTGTTCATATCTATCTATATAGACATCTATATTGATATTATATTGTATTATGTTATATTATATCTATATAGATATGTTTATCTATAGCTATATATATGCCTATAATTTGCCGGTAGAAATCAAAATTAAATTTTTATTAAAAGAAAAACAAACAAATATACTCTCGTGTGGTCCTGAAGTTTGAACTACTCTCCCCAGCCACCTGTTGGGAGTGGCAACTCCCAGGGGATGTTGTTTGAAGACATGACACTTGGTGTCAACAAGTGGTGTCTTAGCCACTCCTCTGGAGACTTTTGAGGGGTTGTATTCCAAACAATCCCTTCAGGGATTGTTTGGAATACAACCTGAGAGAAACTATTATTTTCTATTATATTAATAATCCATTCTTAATTAGGATCCAGACTTTTTATTTCCTCATTCAAGATTCAGGCCTTGTAGGTCAGTCAACTAGTCTCTGAAGGACATGGCTGATAGATGAAATTGCCCTAATTCTCAGAGAATATGGGGTGGGACCCGACCCAACTAGGAGATTTTACTCCAGTTTAGGGTGTAAACAGAAACTAATCTAGGTGAATTCTTGCCCTTAGGGGATAAAGTCCATGTCCTTGCACTTCTTCATTGGAGTTTAGGGTGTCCTAGTTCATGAGGGAGAAAACCAACCAAAGTGATCTGGATGGAGATGGATTCCTCTGTTTAGATTGCTGGAGGTGGCTGAGGCTCATGATCAAGCCACTTTCTCAGCAGGAGGAGCTGAAGACTTTTAGCCCACTTCTTCATTTAGATGTCAACCAAATAGGGTTGATTTCTCCTGTCATGGGCATTCCTTTCCTTAAAAAATATTTAAGGCATTAAGTTTTTGGTTACTGAAAGAAACCACTAATCATCGATTTATTAACTGTTAGCCAGCCCAATTAATAAATTGATCATTGACTACCCAGAAATTCTGACTATTGGGTTTTTCCTTTGTCACAAACCACCAGTGACACAGAACATCAAGCACCAAGCTATAGCTGGGGAGGGTGATGGAAAACTTGGAGGGGACTTTCAGGACGACTGACATAAGGGGACAGGCTAGAATTCTATTCTACCTACCTTAACAATGTTGTTGAGGGTAGCCAATGATAAATTTACATATAATAACTTTTAAAGTAAAGAGTATTTTTGTAGTAACAAAGAATTGGAAACAAAAGTAGGTGCTCATCAATTAGGAAATGGCAACACAAATTGGGGTATGTGAATGAAATGGAACATTACAATACCCTAAGAAATGGAGGAATGTGATGAATCCAGAAACACATAAAGATCTACATGGACTGATATACAGTGAATTAATCAGAGCCAGGAAAACAATATACATAATGACTACAGAAATGAAAACAGAAAGAACCACCACCACAAAATAACTGAAAATGAATGCTGGGAAATTATAAAGAAGAAGCTTGGCCCCCAAAAGGGAGATCTGAAAAGATACCTCTCCTTACTCCTTTGGGTGTAGAACACTCCATACAAAGTTAGAATTTTTTAAAATATTGATCATTTTGCTGAATTTACTTTTCTTTTCTTTAAAAAAAATTGTCAGAGGACGTAGAAAAATTGGGACACTAATACACTGTGGGTAAACTGTGAACTGATCCAACCACTTTGGAGAACAACCTGGAATTATGCCCAGAGTTATAAAATGGTGTACATCCTTTGACCCTGCAATACTATCAGGTCTGTTTGCCAAGGTGATCAGGGAAAAAGGAAAAGAGGCAAATGGAAGGAATGGAAGATGGAAGGAAAGGAAAATGGAATGAAAAAAATTTCCTTCATGGAAAAAAGGAAAATATTTATAGCAGCTCATTTTGTGGTAGCAAAGAACTGAAAACTGAGGAGATATCCATTAATGGGGGAATGGCTGAACAAATTGTGGTATATGATTGTGATGGAATACTACTGTGCTGTAAGAAATGATGAACTGGTTGAATTTAGAAAAACATGGAAAAACTTACATGAAATAATGAAGGGTAAAATGAGCAGAACCAAGAGGACATTGTATACAATAACAACAATAATGTCTGAAGAACAACTGTGAACCAGTAAGTTATTCTAAGTACTATAAATACTCAAATTAACTACAAAGGACTCATGAAGGAAGATCCTATCCACCTCCAGAGAAAGAACTGAGAAATAGGAGTATGCATAGTATGGTTTTACATACATACATAGATATTATACAGACACATAACACACACAAACACACATATATACATACATATGTGTGTGTGTGTGTATGTGGGCCAAATAGTGCAGGCTGGGGAGGGAGGGAAGGAGACAGTTTGGAACTTAAAATGTAACCAAAAATGAATAAAATTAAATTTTTTTTTAGAAGTTAAAAAAATTGTCTTAGGATGGTTTTCTGGGAGGAGGAAGAAGAGGGATACTAGGGGAAATATAATAAAAATCTGTTTTAAAATAGTAAAAAGTGCTATATCAAAAATTTATAGCTCTGAGGGACCTTAGAGGTCATTAGGTCCAACTCCCTCATTTTATAGATAGGAAAACTAAGATATAGAGAGGTTTAGTGACTCACCCATGGTCACTAAGCTAGTGTCAAAGTTGGGATTTGAACCCAGGTCTTCCTGACTCCAAGTCTAGCATTGTTAGCCACTTTGCCTCAGGGCCTCTTTTACATAAAATATGATATATTTATTAACAACAATGATAACAAGCGAGGCTGGAACATACACAACAGGGATTTCCTGTCTGTAAGCAGTAAGGGATCAGTCCTCATGCCTAGTAACAGAACTCTAGTCCTTGAAAAATTCAGGAACAAAGGGCAGCCTGCTTGTGGAGGACTTGTTAGGGAGTCAGGTCTAGGGAAGTAGACTACATTCATAAGGGTCTCCAGCAGCCCCTCTACCTTCCAACTCCTATTTTAGCATAGTCCTATTATATCCTTCCTCCCTCTTTTTGTTTACCCTTTTTTTATCTTGGGGTCCAGTAGGATTGTAGACAATCAGGGTGCGTCCAGGCAATGGTGGTAAATTGTGTTGCACAGATATGTTCATAGCTGTTTCCAGGGCCTGTTGGTAGCGCTTCATCATCTCCCAGTCTCGCTTCCACTGGCTATAGGAGACAAAAAGAGCCCAGAAAGGTAAAGCAAAGTTTATTTCCCTGCTTTTCTGAGGAAGGACAGGAGGTTCTTTCGGGGACCACAGTCCTTTCCTCATCTGCACAGCAACCCCCTGTGGCAGGAGGTGCTGACCAAGGCTCTCTCAGCCTTCCCTCCAACAACTCCTCCTCCCAAAACATTCTCATGGATAAGAAAGAGGGGATCCTTCCAAGGTTTCTACCACAAATCACATATGATTGTGCTTGGATGGGAATAATAATAGTGGATAGCGTCTATGCAACATTTTAAGGTTTGCAAAGCACTTTACATGTTATCTCATTTTATCCCCGCAACAACCCTATGAGATAGGTGCTATTATGATCCCCATTTTACAAATTGGGAGACTGTGGTAGAGGGTGTTTAAATGACTTGCCCAGGGTCACAGAGTGAGTGCTTAGGGCAGCACTTAAACCCGGGTTTTCTTAACTTCAAGTCTACCTGGCTGCCTTTAAAAGGCTTATTTTATGCAGCAAGACAATTGCATTTACTTAGGAAAAAGTAAGAGAACTAGGAATAAAAAGGGGCAGAGGTAAAACTGAGAATTCATATGGAGAAGAGAAAAAACAGAAACAAATGGAACCAAGTCACAAAATGACCTGAGAAATAAGACAGAAAACCAAACCTGGGACAAAGACTGATAGAGGCCTTCAGAGATCGAGACAAATAGCCACAGCAGAACAACATCCAAAGTGTAGACACCATGGATGCCTAGATCAAACAGGAAGTATTCAATAAGCACCAACTATGTTCCAGGCACTGTGCTAGGCACTTGGGTTACAAAGATACAAGCACTTCTTCTACGGGAAGAAAAGAAAATGGGGCAAAGGGGTAGGAGATATTACAGGTGAGTGTATCTGTGAGTGACTGACATGGGATTTCATTAATGTAGGGGGCTCCTGATGAGGAACTTTCACTACCAGTACAAATTGGCCACATTTCCCACAACTTATAGTCTTAGCTGCCTGGAATGCTGAGAGATTCAAGGACTTCCTCAAGGTTACATATACAGAAGATGTAAGGGGCAGGACTTGAACCCAGGTCTTCTTCACTCTTGGGGTGGCTCTCCAACCACTGCGCCAGGAGTGTCCATTTCAAATAGAAATTGATCCCTGCAGGCTACATGCTTAGAAAGTCACAAATTAACATATCTATGTTGTGTTATATTTATAATTTGTTAAATATTTCCAAATCACATTTTAGTCTGGTTTGGGCAGCACTGAAGAACACTGTGGGCCACATGTCTGACTCATCTGCCCTGTGTATGCTGTCTCTTGTAAACATCTGGGTACATACAAAATAACATAAGCTGATTTTGAGGGAGAAGGTGGCTCTTGAGCAGTTCTTAAAGGAGATTAGCAAATTTAAGAAGCCAATGAGAAGAGGTAGAAATGGTATGCCATATTTTTGACTGAATGTTAAGAGTGTATTTTATTTTATTATGAGTATTAAGTAAGTTACATCATTTGAGTTCTTACTAAAGTTGTTTATTATAATAATGAGTTTATCATATTGAGTATATAATGAATTATAATACAATAACATTATTTTATATAAAAATATCTTCTCATTTTTATTTGAATATGTTATACTCATATGAGACTATATGAAGAGAAATTTGGTATTGCTGTTCAGACATTTCTGATTCTTTGTGACCCCATTTGGGGTTTTCTTGGCAAAGATACTAGAGTAGTTTGCCATTTCCTTCTCTAGCTCATTTTACGGATGATGAAAGTGAGGTAAATAGGATTAAGCGATTTGCCCAGGGTCACATAGCTAGTAACTGTCTGAGGTTGTATTTGAACCCATGAAGATGAATCTCCTTGACTTTAGGCCCAGCACTCTACCCACTTCACTACCTAGCTGCCCTGTGAAGAGAAATAATGTATAACAAATCTCTAAAGGTTGTGAAGAGCTTTAAATGATTTTTTAAAAGGAGTTTACATTTTATCCTATAGGTAATTGGAAACTACTATAGTTTACTGAGAAAGGAATAAACAGAAATAGAGACAAAGGTGAAGACAGCAATAGAGATAGGCTATTAGGTTTTATGGTCCCTATAGAGTAAATTTAAGTGCAAAATTTCCAGTGCCAGAGAAAACTATGGACCAGGGAGATCTAAAGCAAGCACATTAATGAACATCACTATATCTTTACAAAAAGATGGTTGGTATCACCAGCGTCCCTTTTTAACACCTCCTCTTGTTCTCCTATCCTCTGCCCTCTCAGGAATGCACGTGCACAAGTGGACACACTCACTTAATCCTGGTCAGCCGAAGCTTTTCCCTTTTGAAATGTTGATACAGCACAGGCACCAACATGGCAAACCGAATCTCTTGATTAGTCAATTCCTTCTCCGGCTTTGGTATCTGGCCTTTCTTCCCCAGTCTTTCTAATAACTGCCGCATTATATCCACATTACAGGGAATTGGTCCTGAGGCATAAAGACATCAAAGTGATTTGAGGAAAAACAACTTTAATCTTGGCCTCCTTGATTTCTCGAACTCCTTCCCTGGTGCCCTCCCCACACCCCTTGCCCCAAGAAGGCTGGAGATCTCTGCTCCCTGACCCCCATCTGGCCCTCTGGGACATGGAAGCAAAGGTTAAAACTGTTCCTCATGCTTTCTTTGCTCTTTCTCAGAAATGGGAAAAGTGTGGGGGATTATGGGTGATGATGGGTAGACAGTACCAGAGTTTCGGAGTTGCCTCTCCAGATCACCGATGGATGTATGGGCAGAAAGAAATCGGAATGGAAGTTGCCGGCTGCGGATCACTGATTCCTGGGGTGAAGGAAAGAGAAGTCTGAGGGGTTATGGTAGATGGCGGGAATTAGGAAGGGGACAAGTGGGGAGTAGAAAAAGGAGAAATGGAAAAGTAGAAGGTGAGGAAAGGAGAGAATTGTGGGAAGGGAGAACAAGATGAATGGTAGGAAAAAGGGAGAAATGAATGATAGGAGGAAGAAGTGTGACTGGATCCTTATTCCTTACATATTCACTTCCTGTGAATATGTATACAACCACCCTTCCCAAGGAGTCTTAGCCCCTATAGGGTGAATGTGTTATCCCTTCTAATTAAAACCCCACATAAATAACTGACATGCCAAGTGCTATTCTTCCTACGAAAATAAACCTTACTGACAACCCCACCCCAATCCACCTCCATTCAGCTCTGCTGCCCCAAAACAAGATGCAGCATGTCTCCCCACCCACCCACCCCTGCTATAACCACATGGCTCAGGAAGGCTCTCTTAGGATCTCCACACCTTGCGCTCCAGCAGCTGCAGAATGTGTTCATGGTGCCGGGAGCTGATTCCCACTCGAAGAAGGCTGCATAGGTTCCTCAGCATGGCCATGTAGGGCAACTTCCCATTGTCTAAAGGAGGAAAAAGTTGTTTCGCTTATTAAATTTAAGGGTACAGAGAGCAGAGAAGGGTGGAACGGACCCTATAGCCTAGATCAAAAAGCTCCAGTGGATAGGTCTAAGGGGAGATGGGGCCAAATAGAAAGATACTGATGGAGAAAGGATATTTTTTTAAAAAAATTATTTTGTTACACTGAAAATGTGTTTACAGCTTTAGTAAGAGCCAAAAAATAGTTTGGCCTGAAGTTTGGAATTTATAATTTAGAAAATTGCTGAGATGTGTCCTCTTCAGTAAAGATAATCCCACTACTGCCTCTAAATTCGGTGTTTCCATCACTAAATTTGATTCAGATTTGCAAAACATCCTCTTTTGAAATTAAAAATTTCCTGCAAGGCCAGGAGACAAGCAATCCTATTTCATTAAAAATAAAGTTACCCCAAGGACTCTCTCATGAGAAATATGACCAGATAGATGGTCATGGATGGATAGTGGAAATGAGATGTGCAATATAAAAAAGCAATTATATTTTCCATACAATCCAAGAGCCTGGCTCTCCCCGCCTTTTAAGCAAAGGAACAGTTTTACTAAGTTTTGTAATTTTGCATTACAGCTACTCCCATGATGGTAAAGAAAAATATAGTTGTGACAAAACATCCTAATGAAATTACAATAGTTTTTACTCAAGAATATATCCCAAACACACCTCCAGTAGCTGTTAGTCTAACTGAGTATGCCAAAAAGCCCTATTGAGGTTCACAGAAGTCTACCCAGATCAGCTTTCTCAACACATTGCTAGGCATTGTTTGTATCACTTGTATGGCGACCACCAGGAGGATGGCTGAATCTACTTAGGATAGCATAGGCTCCAGAGTCATGCTCTCCCCCATATACAGATATGTGATGTCAAATTTCAAAGGTATCAGATTTTTTATTAGCTCCTGGCCTTCTCCAGAAATAATGTTTCCAAAACCAGAGAGAAATATAATTAGGTTATATGGGCTGAAATGAATTGAATGTCTCATGTATGGCCTATACTCAATAAATATGCTTTGAAATCGGATTATCTGTGTACACGAGAACACAGCTTGAGGTAAAAGGTGTCTTAGAAGTCATTTTGATCCAATTCTGTACGCATTACACCTAGCTTTTATCACTGGAGGTTGGCTGAAATTTCTTTCAGAATTCTTTACATAAAGTCAAATTTTAAAGATATTGGAAAATGCCTTGTATGAGAAATGCAAGCCAAAAAAGGGTACTTGTAATCCAGATGGTATATACAACTTCAATGATTTTTCCTTTTTGACTAAGAAGTGTATCTATCTTGTCCTAAAAATTCACAGGTGAGAGAGGTTAGGGACATTTGTCATGACCTACCTAGATGATACTGTTATATTTAGCTAGCTCCTAGATGTAGATGAACATTCTAGGTTGGTAGTCAACAACATCTACCAGGTTGTGTTTATGGTGAACTTAGTAAATAAATGCCCATTTGTATTTCCCAAGGTTGAATACATGAAACCTTCAACAATGGTCCAAGCAGCAAAAGTAGATGACTGACAATTTCTCGAAGCACAAGAAGGAGCTTGGCTTTATCTCTCCTAAGACCTCACGGGTATGAAAAGCAATAGGAATGGAGCCAAGGGAAAGTGTAGCCAAAGGATATTTTTAAAAAATGATTTTGTTACACTGAAAATGTGTTTACAGGTTTACATTAAGAAAGCTAAGAAGGAAGGCCTCCTAAAGAGGAAAAGAAAACTCCTAAGGTAATAAAAAATTCTCCTTAGACTTAAGAGTAAACTTGTTATCTCTGTGGGCAGATAGCATAGCTGAAATCATAAAGACCCAATGGCCAAGGTAGCACATTTGCCAAACCTAGTTACTCCATCCCGTGTTCTCAGTAAATCAAGGAAGTGGTGGCTCTGGCAGAGATCCATTTCCGTGTATTTGTGATTCCTAATCAGGGGGAATTTCACCAAAAGCATACACAATCCCTGAAGCCAGAAATGAGGCAACTTAAGGACAGGATGCATATGATAAAAAGTTAAAAGCAGACAGCAACCTACCCCAGTTTGTTGTATTTCTTCCTAAAGGATTCAAATAGTACTTTCCCTTAAATTGAAAGCATACAAATATGATGGCCATTTACATAATATTTGTCCTATTTTAATAAAGTTCTATTTTGAGGCAGCTAGGTGGCACAATGGATAGTGCTCTGGTCTTGGAGTCAGGAGGACCTGAGTTCAAATCCAACCTCAGACACTTGACACTTAGTAGCTGTGTGGCCCTGGGCAAGTCACTTAACCCAGATCACCTCACCAAAAAGCAAATAAAATAAAATAAAATAAAGCTCTATTTCTATTAAGAGAATGTAGACTGGAACATGTGCCAAATACTCTAAGGCATTATCTAAGAAAGAGCTACACTCTTCCCTCAACAGCTACCACCATACAATAGGTGGAAGTCTCCTAAATGACAAACATTGGCTCGAGAAGACTGCAACCGGGGGGCAGCTGGGTGGCGCAGTGGATAAAGCATCACCAGCCCTAGAATCAATAGGACCTCAGTTCAAATCCAGCTTCAGAAACTTTACTAGCTGAATGACCTTGGGCAAGTCACTTAACACCGATTGCCTCACCCCCACTCCCCAAAAAAAGACCCCAACTGGCCGCTAGGTAGTACATCTTGTAAATTCAATTCTATTTCAGTAATGGAACATCACAGAGAGAGAACTATGAAGAGATACTATTCCATATGGTTCAGACTACATATAAAGAAAAGTAGGCCATAAATAGGACTTAAATAGGGAAAGTTAATCATACCAATGAGACCCTCCCAGACAGACGCTTTGTTCCCCTTCTGGCTCAGCTCTCGATCCCAGGTCTCTGGCTGTGGGAGCTTCATCCGGGTCCCAGCTCTACTGGAATCCCAGGGACCAGGTAGACGGCTCCGGGAGAAGGATTGAAGGTCTGAAGGGTACCTGGGTTGGGATGGAAGACAGAGAGGAAAAGATAGCTTTTGTATTACAGACATCTGGTATGGGGCAGCTAAGAATGAGCTTGAGGAAGAAAGGGCTCCATGATCTAGTTAGCAAAACACTTGAGCCAAAGCTCCCTAGTCATTATTGTAGGGGCTGAGGTCTTAGTTCATAGAGTTGAGGGCATGGACAAAACAGATTTAAAAGTAAAAGGCTATGGGGGAGCTGAATGGCTTGATGTGACTTTGGGTCTATGGGCCCTGGGAATCGAGACTGTACCTAACTTACCTGCAGCCCAGCAGGGCCTTGACATTCTCTACAGGGTCCCGGATATGTAATCGCTGTATTAACTTCTTCAGCGTAAAATCCGATGGTTTCTTTTTCACTGGTTCTGTATAATAGGCCCTCATAAACTGTAGGGATACATGCAAGGCCCCAAAGGAACATTTTCATCCATGGCCATAGTTCTCTGCCTCAGAGAGAACAGGGAACTAAGATTCCCTTACATACCCTGTTTCCTCTACCTTGAATCCGTAATTGTTCTCCCAACCCCACCCCCAAGCCGCTAATGAAAATAGAAGGAAATGAGCACTAAGTGGTGTTGTCATTTAACAAGGTCTAAACACTTTGTTATCTTTGTACCTCTTCTTTGCGTGTTAGACTTACATGTGATGGTCTTATCTGTTAAGTAAGAGGGAAGAAAGGGAACAGAGAATATTCTGGAGCAGAGGGAAACTACAATTTTCACTCAGACCTACTGGATAACTAAGGCACTAGAGCAAGGTGGCCATGAGGAAGACAGAAAACTGACAGAAATTGGATGTTGGAATTTTCTCTGAAGGAAACAAATTTGGCATAAGTTGTTAAGTTAAATAGAGAAAAAGTCACCATGTGAGAAAAGATTTGAGAGAACAGAATACAAAACTGAAGATATCATGGCGAGGTATCCTGAAAGTTCAGCAGTATTATTAGGGTTGTTTTTTTTAACTTACGTCCTGCAAGCATTTCCTATGATATTGATATGTTTAGTCTAATGATCGAGCTCTCTGGAACATCATTAAAATTCAAACTTTCTGCTGTCATTCACTGGTTGATCTGTTTATTTAACTTTCCAGTGAAAGCAGTATGGTAAGGTTAATTTATATAGCATATAAGCTTAGAGACTGAAAAACCTGGCTTCAAATCGAAATACTCAATTGCTGTGTGACAACAGGCCAGTCACTTAACCTCCACATGCTTCAAGCAACTCCACGACATTTATCTACTAAGACATCTCCAAAGTAGGGTGTACCCCTGCAGTGGTCACTGAAATTCCTGGGACAGATTACTACCTTAATTTTCTTGGGGAATGGCATGCGGCCTTGAGATCATGAATTCACTCACCCGACGAGACATGCTACTGACACCTGGTGGCAGTAGAGTGTATGACAAGAGAGAGTGAAATGAAGGGTAAAGAAACGTATCTTTCTTAGAAGCTCAATCCAGCTGACTGCCATCAGTTAAGATACTGTGACATGTTTATCCCCTATTCTACTTGAGCGCTTCTGGACAGATACCACTTCCCCACCTCCCCACAAAGTGTTCTGTGACCAGGAACTCACAGCTTTTTGACGATGATAAAAGGTGTCATATATTATAGTCGAGTTGTACCACTTCCTTCGGCACACTTTTTCTGACTTCTGCAGTGTGGACAAGAAAGCAGTAATTAGAGTGTTGCTCATCCTTAGCACTCCTGGGACCCTTCTCTGGCACTGAAGTCTCAATTCTATGCTTTGGTCACCATATGGTAAAATGGAGAGCTCCTTCTCAACCTTCCAGCCCAGGCCAGCCATCTCTTCAATTCTCACTGGAGCTGCACTCCTTTGGATTTCTCTATCATGCCCACTTGGGGTACCTTCTTTCCTACCCAACTCACTTTTCAGATTTCTTTTGTATGTTGTCTTCCCCCATTGGACTGTAAGCTCCTTGAGGGAGGGAATGTCTTTTTCTTGTTTTTATCCCCAGCACTTAGCACGGTGCCTGGCATATAGCAGGCATTTAATAAATGTTTATTGACTGATTGGGGGGCCATCTCCAGTCATCCCGATCTGTATCTTGCCACTGGACCTTGTCCAGCCCTCCCTCACTTAAATCCAATTCACTTGCAAGTCATGGCTTCACCTTCCTGATGTTATGGTCCTCTTCAGGGATGAAGGACAAACAACAACAATTGACTGACTAACCTAGTCCCCCAGTTTTAGGAAGAAGGTGCTCTCTTTTCACATCACCCCATTCCCCTCTGACTTGTCTGGTCCCTTTTGTTCTCAGGTGATTAGCAGCTCTTAGGGAAGAAATTGCTCAGTCTACATCTCCCCAGAGGTAGAATGGTTCCTGATTTATTCTTCCTAGGAGATCACAAAGAGGAAGGGGGACCATATTATATCTATGGTGAGGGGCAGGAAAAGTCACTGACTGGACGTCGGGGACCACGGCGTCTTTTCTTAGCCCGGTGTTCCCGAAGGTTGTACTTAGCCAACTGGTATTCATCAAACTGGGCAAATTTGTCAGTCATGGCAGCACGGAGACAGGCAGGCATAGGCACCAGCTTCTTATTGGGCTCCCCAGCCAGGTTCTGTTAGTAAGAGAGGAGACTGTGAAGAGTGAGACTAGCCTCAAACTCCAACACACAGATTGAGAATGGGGGGAGCGGGTCAAAACATGGAGTTAGAGCACTGAAGGGATAATTAACTTTAGGAGTCAGAAAGGGGACAGAGGACAGTAAGCAGAGTGGAAAAAAGGAAGGAAGGGCGCAAGGATCCACTGAGATGGAAAGGAGACAGGTTTTAGGTCAATCTATGAATATCCTCTATGCTGTAGCTTCAATGAAGACAGAACAGAATTTGTTTTTTTAAAGAAATTAGTACTATACAGTGGAAAGAGTACCTACTAAGACACAAGAAGATCTGGGTTCTAGTCTTAGCTGTACCACTTCTTTCCTTGTGACCTTGGGCAGGTTACCTGTATCAGTCACCCAGGACAATTTATCAGAGGAAGATGCAATGCAAATAACATAAAAATACAGCAGGCCAGAGATAAAGCCTATGGGACTCTACAGGAAGAGACTGGAGAAATAGAGGGGAAAAGGAGTAAAATTTGAGCATATATATAGAAGAGATTAACATATGATTGCTGGTGAACTTATTTTCTTTTATTTTGAGCCAAAGAACCCTGGCCAAACAGTTAGAAGGCCTGGGTTCCAGCTTTGATACTAACTGGGTGACCTTGGGGAAATTATTCTACCTCTCTGGACCACAGGCTCTTCATCTGTGAGAAGATTGTCTCTTCAAGTTCTGAAATGCTATAACTTAGGGAAATTTAAAGGCTTTCCAGTAGAGTAGAAATAATGAGAGAAACTAGAAAGGGTGAAGAGGGAGGTTGAAGCAATTCTATCCAAGGAAGTCTTACAAAACAAGAGGAGCATTGACTCAGCTAGGTGGCCCAGTAGATAGAGCCCCAGGCCTGCAGTCAGGAAGAACTGAATTCAAATTTGGCTTCAGATATTTTAATACCTGTGTGACCTGGGTCAAGTCACTAAACCTCTCTCTACTTCAGTCTTCCTAACTGTAAAAAGAAGATAACAATAGCATCTACCTCAGGGATAGTTGTGAGGATCAAATGAGATGTAAAGAGCTCAGCCCAGTGCTACTTGACATATAGTAAGTACTTAATAAATGTTTATTGATTGGTTATTTCCTTCCTTCCTAGCTATGTGTACCAAGGAGGGGGTATCCTGCCTAAAGAAGGGAGAATAGTAAGAGTGAAGAGTAGAGACCTAGGAGCAAAAAGATTCTTTCTAGATATAGATAATAGCTGAGGCAAAGAGGAGAGAGCTCAATGAGAGTGATAACAAAAGATGAGAGTGAAGGCAAAAGAAAGGTAAGGGTCCTTCTTGGACATACCTGGAAATACCGGGCCACCTGCATCCAGTCAGAGGGGAGCTGGACGATGGCACAAAAATATCTCCGCACATAGGGACGACAAGCAGGTAGGTAGGCAGCTATGGCTAGGACCATGATGGCTATATCTCGAATATTGAGCTGCTGTCGTGCATACAGGGATGCCTAGGACATAGGGTGAGCAAGGTCAGATTAGGATATTGATTCCTTCTTTTATTGATACCTTACCAGAATTCCTAAAATTCTACTTTTATCTCTCCTCAAAATAGCTCCTTGTCACTCCAATCAACACAAAGACCACCAACCACAATTCCAAAGGACTCGTGTTGAAACATGCTATCTACCTCCAGGTAGAGAAATGATGGATGGATTCCAGGTATAGATTGAAGCATTTTTCTATTCTTTCTTTTTTTTGTATGGGGTGGAGTTATCACGGCTAATGAAGGAATTTGTTTTGATTGACTATACATATTTGTAATGTGCTTTGCTTTTCTTGCCTTCTTATTGGGTAGGGGAGGGAGAGAATTTGGAACTGAAAATAAAATAAAATTGGAAAAGGAAAACTCTAAATTTTTTAAAAAATTAAAATGACTCATTTTGTTGTCTACAGGATAAAACCCCAATTTGGAATCCTGAAATTCAACACTCTGTAATCTGGACTCAAAATTATTTTTCTAGCCTTATTTCCTCCTTTTCCCTTCTACAAGTCCTACCTAGAACCTCAACTAAGGCAGAACAACCAAAGCTTTGGCCAAGGACTGCTGAAATTTAGAAGGCACCAACAGCATTAGTGCTCCAGAAAAAAAAAATTGTTTTTGGAGCTGTGATCCAGTACAACCATTTTGTTGTTGAAAGCAAATTGAAATTGTGCAAAGTGACTAAGACATCCACACCCTTTGACCAAGAGATTTCATTATTAAGTATATATTCAAAGGAAGTCATTGATAAAAAGAGAGTCTTTGTATACACCAAAATATTTATAGCAGCACTTTCTGTACTAGCAAACACAGCAGATACCCATCAATTGGGGAATGGCTAAACAAATTGTAGTATATAAATGTAATGGAATATTATCGTGCTTTTAAAAATAACGTAATGAATACAGAGAAATATGGAAAGATCTAAGTCAATGTAAAGTAAGCAGAACAAGAAAACAATAAACAAAATGACTGCAACAATGTAAAGAGAATCACCCCCCAAAAAAACCCATCGAAAGTAAATGCTACAAAATTATAAAGAATAAGTATGGCTCAAAAGAAGAGATAGAAGACATTCCCACCCCACCCCTTGGTTGAGGTGGGAGATTCACAAATGTTTTATGTTGCACAACTTTTTAGGCTTTTTCAATACATTGGTCAGTTATGCTGATTTTTTTCATCTTTTTTGTTTTTTTGCCTTAAAACATTATTTGTTATATAGGATGGCTTTCTGAGAGGGAGAATACAGGGAGAAATTATGGTAATAAAACCCCCAAAATATAAATAAAATGTATTAAAAATTGAGTTTAGTACCTAGTTAACATTAGTTAAATTAGGAAGCCACCAAATGGTATGAACCCTTGGTGATCTCCCCTCCATCTTAGCCTCACCTTGTTCCCTCTTCTGGAAGCATGCTGCCTAATAGCATCTCCCCAGTGTCTTGGGGACATGGGCCAGAGACCCAGAGCATCTACTAACTTTTCATGGAGCACTTCCTCAGGGCCTCTTTTCTTTTGGGACCTTATGTTCTGAGGTCTGGGGTCCATCCCTGTGATCAATCTCTGCAACTATATTTACTTTAAACAGTTGATTTGAGGCTCTCTTTTATGTTTTTTTGCTCCAGACATACTTTGTAGTACTGGTATGTGACATTGAAATCACTAGTCATACCTCTATCTGTAACCATCACTCATCTATGTACTAGTCCCCCAAATCCAGGTTGTTCTTTTCTGCCTCTACTTTTGTTCATGCCTTGTGTTCCACCCTTTCCATCTCCTCTAATCAGGATCAATTCATCCTTTAAGGCTCAGCCAAATTCCCATCTCCTTCGTGAAGCCATTCCTGATCACCTCTAGAAGTATTCTCTCTTACTGCCAAACTGCTATAGCATCCACTGTCTATACCACCCACATGACACTTAACAAAAACTGTTCTGGTTTGTAGTTATTTGTAAATATATCTTATCTCCCTAACTATATTGTAAACCCTGTGAAGTCAGAACTGGGAGGTCCTCTTTGTATCACTTCAGCACCTAGGACAGTTTCTTAAACATAGATCCTCAACATTTGTTGAATGACTGAATACATTCCTGTATCCTAGACTCCTAGCTTCATCCAGATTTCCTCTACTCCTAAAGACAGTTCCCCACATCCTCCATAAGAGACAGGTTCCCTAAGGTAAAATTCATCATACTCTAGCAAACCCCAAATCACTCCCCACCAAGTACCTTTAGAATGAACTCAGGTTCTAAAAGGGCAAGGTCTGTGCACAGCTGAAGCAGGAAGTTCCGGGTGGGGTCTTCAGTATCCAGTAGGTTTGCCTTGGAGGACAGGGCACAGCATAGCCTGGTGATTAGCAGCATCTTGGGGGGAAGAAGGAAGAGAAGACTTGAGATAAGCATAGGTATATCAGGGCAAGGACCTTGAAAAAACAAAGACTGCTACACTCAGACTTAGTGACACTCCAACCTAATCAAGTCTGCAAAGAAATATGAGGACCAAAAACTTACTCCTATTCCTTACTACCCCATATTGCTCCTCCAACCCCATGGGAACAGGCATCCCCGTGTAGCATCCACTTACCTTGGTTCCAGTTTCAGCCCCATCCTCCCCACTTTCCCCTAACCTTGAAGCCCTTCACCTTCTTGTTCTGCAAAGCCTGGTCCGTGTTCTCATGTTGGGCATCAGCATCCCTGGGAGCAAGCTCCAGAGTCATCTCTTCTGACTCCCATCCTTCCCCCAAGTTTAGGCTATAAAGAGGAATTGCTTCTTCCACTTGCTTTCCTTCCTCCTCTTCCTCTTCTTCCTGCTGCTGTTGCTCTTCTTCTCTGGAGAGAAACCAGGTATCCTAGGGGATGGAAGAGGCATAAGTTTCACCCACAGACAGATCCTTGAACTGACTCTATGCAGATGGGATAAGGAAAGGAGGCATGGGGAGACTTCAGAACCACCTTCCAGTAAACAAACCTTCATCCTTCAGAAGGAGGCTGTGATTCTACGTATCAATCACCCTGATTTTTAGAATGTCCTATATGTGTGTCCCTTCCAATACTAACACTTCATCCAGAGCTGAGGACACAATATGGGAGCTCACTTGCCCCTGGCAGTTCCTTTTGATGCTACATGGCAAACACCATGATGACAGCCTTGGTGTACTGATTAAGATGTCAAGTTCAGACTTTAGCTGTGCCTTGTCCATAAAAATGGATAGGAATATATAATATTACTCACACTCCTATCTACATACTACATGTATGTAAGGGCTAGTACATTTAACAGGGCACACTTGAAGGAAGGACAACATTCCCCATGAGTCTCTGGGCTTCAAGGACAGGCTTGGGTGAAGTCCTAAGAACCTCCATTTTTTTTTTTTGAAATAGTGAGAAAGTGGGATGGGGTGATATATCAGGAGGGCAACAAAGAAAAAAAAAGGAAAAGCCATGTGGAGGGACCACTGCAGTCCTGTTATTTGTAACACTGGAAGTCTAAACATAAGCATGTTACTAAGATGCCATATAACAATGAAACATAGCTGAAAAGAGCTCAGCCACAGCAGCTCGATTCCAATACACTCTCTTTTTTTAAAAAAATATTTACTTGAAATATTTTTTTTTCTTTTTAAATTTTGAGTTCCAAATTCTCTCCCTCCCTCCCTACCACCCCTACCCCAGGCACTGACCTATACAGTCTTGAAGCAAGGACATGTACTGAAGGCTATATCACAACTTAGACAAGTTTATTCAATACTATAGAACAAATACTAGAGAGAAATTTTTCTAATATAATCAATATGGGAAAGTATTCATAGAGAGGGGCATTTTAATTCGTAGAAAAAAATTCATATTAAAGAGAAATCCTTTGGATATATGGAATATTTGAGTTCCATAAAGAAAGATAGAGACTCTTCCTTATTTTGGAGCTGTGAATCTCAGAGCAGTTTGCTTTCCCACAATACAATAAGATCCTAATTCCCAGAGTATATGTGAGGAGAATGCTTTCTCTATTCATTTGCTAAATATTTTTATGCTGAAATGAATGTCACAACATCATAGTAGTCTGCTTCAAACTATAAAGATTCAGAGAATGATATATTTAGAGGAAGGAGGAGATATTTAAAGGCCACTGTGTCCAACTTATTTTTATGGATGGGAAAACTGAAGCATAAAGCATAAGAGACTTGGTCAGTCATACATTAATCAACAAATCAGTGAAAAAATATTTGTTAAGTGCTTATTATGTGTCAGGCACTATGCTAAGTGACACAGCTAATAAGTTTATGAGAGAGGTCTTCCTAACTCCAAGTCCAATGCCCTCTTGACTACTCTCAACTCTGTCTCTCTTAGGAACCAGACCAAAGAGGGTGTGGACTTTCAGTTCAGGAATACTTTCTTGAAGACTGAATCTCCTAACATCTAGACTCAAATCTTCGCTCTTGGCAGCCATCTCTCCTTGCTCTATGGAGTCTCAGGAATATTTCAGGACTCTAGGGCTCTGGACGCTACCACTGCAAAATCTCCATGTGGCTCTCCTTTGTTTTTCTCAAGGGACTCAGTAGACATGTGCACACACATGTACACACAGCCTCAATTAGGGCACAGAGGCATAGAAATACAGAGACAAAGAATACCTAATAAGGATCCTTGGCTGGGGCTATTACCAGAGATTTAGTTGCTTCCAGAGTCCTCTTGGGGTGTGTGGCACAGTAATCCAGGGTCCCTCCAAGGAAGTGTTGGTTCCTACAAGCTGCAGGCTCTGAGAGGAGGTGGTTAGTGGTGTCCATGCACTTCAGGGAAGCCTTGGTCAAGTGGGATGGTTGGAGGTGCTGAAGCAGGTGGCTGGGTGGCTGGGCCAAGATGCGGTTCTCCAGAGAGAGAACAGTTGACTGTCCAAATAGTTCCAAACCTTGCCTCTTCATGGCTTGGGATTGGCAAGTAGATTCCTGAAAGAAGAGAAGAATTCAGTGTACAGACTCCTCTGAATGGTATGGGCAGGGGAGAACCATCCCATTTTTCATCCCAGCTGCCCTGTCAATTCAGGAGAGAAACAGGCAGAACCAAATCAGGATATTTTTCTGGACTGGGATCAGCCTTTCAGAGGTACTGCTAGTTGGGAGAGACAGTGAACAGGAGTGAAAGGAATCTGGGGAGAGAGAAACTGGGGGCATTAAGGAAAAAAATGATGGAGCTGGAAAAGAAAGGGATGTGCACCAAAGGGCAGTTTCCATGGTAACACTATGATTTTAAATTAAAAAAAAAACATTAAATCTACCAACAAAAGCTAGTAGGAGGAGATAGAGAAATTCTATTTGAAATGACTACAGATAGAATAAAATACCTGGGAGTCTACCTGCCAAAACACATAGGAACTATATGAATATAATTACAAAACGCTTTTCATACAAATACAGACCTAAACAACTAGATAAATATTAATTACTTGTAGGTAAGCTGAGCCAACGTAATAAAAATGACAATACCACCTAAATTAATTTACTTATCCAGGGGCATACTAATCAAACTACAAAAGAATTATTTCATTGAGCTGGAGAAATAACAACAAAATCCATCTGGAGGAACAAAAGGTCAAGAATATCAAGGGAATCAATGAAAAAAAAAAGTGAAGAAAGGTGGCCTAGTAGCACCAGATCTCAAACTATACTACCAAGTGTTAAGTATCAACAATTCGGTACTGATAAGAAACAGAGTGATCAATGGAACCAATTAGATATATAATAATGCAGAGGTAAATAACCACAGTAATCTAGTGCATCATAAACCCAAAGATCCAAGTTATTGGGACAATAATTAATTATCTGACAAAAAGTACTGAGAAAACTAGAAAGCAGTCTGGCAGAAACTAAGTATTGGCCAACATCTCACATATATACCAAAATAACCTCAAAATGAGTTTGTGATTCAGACATAAGGGGTGATAGCATAAGCAAATTAGGGGAGCATAAGAAAAATTACTTGTCAGATCTATGGATGAGGGAAGAGTTTATGACCAAAAAAGAGATAAAGAGGATCATAGAAGTAAAACGGATAATTTTGATTGCATTAAATCAAAGTGTTTGTACACACACAAAAAAAATCAATGCCTCCAAAATTAGAAGGAAAGCAGGAAACTGAGGGGAAATTTTATAATAAGTTTTTCTAATAAAGGTCTCATTTCTTAAATACATAGGGAACCAAGCCAAATTTATAAAAATAAGAACCATTTCCTTATTGATAAATGGTTAAAGGATATGAATAGGCAGTTTTTAGAAGAAGAAATCAAAGCTATCAATAAACATATGAAAAAATGCTCAAATCACTAATAACTAGAGAAATGCAAATTAAAACAACTCTGAAGTACCACATCATACCCATCAGATTGGCTAACATGACAGAAAAAGAAAATAACAAATGCTGGAGGGGACATGGAAAAATGGGGACATTAATGACTCTTGGTGGAATTGTGAACTTGTCCAGCCACTTTGGAGAACAATTTGGAAATATGCCCAAAGGACCATAAAACTGTGCTTACCCTTTGACCCAGCAGTGCTACAACGAGGTCTGTTCCCAAAGAGATCAGAGATAAAGGAAATGTTCTCATATGTACAATATATTTATAGCAGCCCTTTTTGTGATGGCAACGAATTGGAAACTTAGGGGATGCCCATCAATTAGGGAATGGCTGAACAAGTTGTATATGATTGTGATGAAATGGTATTGTACTATAAGAAATGATGAGCAACATGGCTTTGGAAAGACTTATACGAGCTAATTCAAAGTGAGGTCACTAGAACTAGGAGAACATTATATACAGTAACAGTAATGTTGTAATAATAATAACTGCAAAAGACTCGATCAATACAATGATCCATAACAGTCCCAAAGGACTCATGATGAAAAATGCTATCTACCTCCAGAGAGAAAATTGATAAACTCTGAGTGCAGATTGAAGCATATTTTTTTCACTTTATTTTTCTTGCTCCCCCCCCAACATGGCTAATGTGCAAATGTATTTTGCATAACTTCATGTATGTGTGTATACACAATATATGCATATATACATACATGTGTGTCTGTGTATATTTGTATATCACATTTCTTGCCTTCTCAGTGGATGGGGGATGGGATGGAAAGAGGGAAAGAATTTGGAACTGAAAATAAAACATTAAATCCATATTATGTTCAAGGCATGATGATAACTCTAGAAATATGAAAAACAAACAAAAGGTTCTTCTCATAAGGAGTTAACAGTTTAACAGAGGGGATGGGATATGAACATTTACCTGGGTCCCTTTTTCTTTTTATCTCTACATTAAAAAGAAGGTATCACAATGGATTAAATGAAAGGCACTAAGGCATAACAGATGGCACTGTATACCTAGAGTCAGAAAGATCTGCATTCAAATCTCTCCTCAGTTACTATGTGATAAGAAAATCAAATATTTAATTTTATGTTTCATTACATTCTGTAATTGATTCTATTCCGTAACTGCCTAAGCCATGTTTCTTTGTCTCTGAGTTAAGTTCACAAGTTCATGAGGTCAAAAGTTCAGTTTTCCTCTGTGAGTTAAGTTTAAAGGTTAAGTTTCCCTATAAATCACTTTGGTTGAAAGAAAACTTATCTCTGTACCACTAATTGCTTTTGTACTATTAGAAGAAATCTGTTATCTTTGAAGGATGAAGGTGGATGCCAGGGAGTCCAGTCTGTTATCTCTGCAGCACTGACTGTCCTTCAAGAAAGTCTGATCTGTTATTGCTGTGACAATAACTAGCCACACAGGTGGACACCACCAATGACCTTTCTGTAGCACAATAATGAAAAGGAGAGAAAGGTTGTTGCTAGCCCTGCATTCCAAACTTCCAGACAATTATTGTTTTCCATCATCTATGACACTTCATACTTTGCAACCAATCATATTGTTTTCCATCTGTGATACATCCTGTTCTTTGTTCTCTTCCAGTTCCCAAAACTATATAAAAAAAAAAAGCTGCCAGCCTCATCTTTTGTTCTTTTGTCCTACTGAAGAGCTAGAAGAACCCTTTTATTGGTAATTGCTAGACTCACCAATAAACCAAACATGCTTGGAACTTTGTGCCTCAGTTTACCTTAATTTCCATCATGACAGTGACCATGAACAAATTGTATCTTCCCTAAGTTAGTGTTTCAGGAATTTCATGAAGGCTTTTCTGAGTAATGCAATGATCTAAGACAATTCGAAAAGATTTATGATGGAAAATGCTATCCACATCCAGAGAAAGAACTATGGAGTCTGAATGCAGTTTGAAACATACTATTTTCTTTTTTTTTTCTTGTGGTTTTTTCCCTTTTGTTCTGATTCTTCTTTCACAACATGACTAATGTGGAAATATGTTTAATAAGACTGTACATGTATAGCCTATAACAGATTGCATGCTATCTTGGAGAGGGGGAAAATTAGAACTCAAAATTTTATAAAAGTGAATCTTGAAAACTAAAAATAAATTAATTTTAAAAATTTTAGGAGGAAGTCTCTTTCAGATAGGAAGACTTCAAGAAGAAAGCAGCACCTTAGCTATTACAGCAATCCATATAGGAAAACCACATGGACATTACAATCTTGTTAGCTTGGAGCCCACCCTTGTTAAAGGGTCAAGCTTGCAACTCAGGCCTATAGTCATTTACTTCCATTCTAATGACTAGTCAAGCCAAGCCTTGGGGTGCAGATTTGGATGTCAGGTCCAAATTTAAGCTGTGGCATGTGCATTAAGATACACAGTGACAGGGATATATATATGTACACACCTAGCCTCCTGTATATATACTACATGTAGCAGCATAGCCATGTAGGAACAAGTATATGTAACAGAGTAGCTAGGTGGTAAGTGCATAGAATCCTGGGCCTGCAGTCATACAGACTGGAGTTAAAATCTGGCCTCAGTCCTTACTGGCTGTGTGACCCTGGGCAAGGCATTTAACCTGTGTTTGCCTCAGTTTCCTCATTTGTAAAATGGGCACCATAACAGTACCTACCTCCCAGGGTTGTTGTGAGGATCAAATGGATAATAATTGTAAAGCACTTAGCACAGAGCCTGGCACATAGCAAATACTATATAAATGTTAACTACTATTATTATTATTAATTACATATTTATCATTAGTCTCTGGGTCTCAAGGGGAGGTCTGACTGAAGTCCGGAGAACTTCTATTCATTTGAGTGCCTATAGCACAGGGTTATTGCCTCAGAAGGGCAACAGAGAAAAGAGGAAAGGTTTGAAGGGGATTTAAATAGAGGAGTCCTATTTTATAGTTATTTTTAATTCTTGATCTGAGGAACCTAAGGACGTTTCTAAGACCCCATGGATGAGAAGGTCAAAATTAATATGACTTCAAATTTCTATTGTATTGATTTCTACTGTATTGATTCTACTGTAATTGATTTTATGCTGTATTGATTTTTATAACTGAGTCTGCATCTGCCTAAAGTTACCTTTCTATGTCCTTGAATTGAGCTCTCAGGAATTGAGCTGTCCCTCTAAGTTAGTTTAAAGTTATAATTAAAAGAAAAGTTCTCTCTCCTATTAGTAGCCTATGGGATATTTCCAGGACATCGGTTTGTTATCTTTAAGCCCCACAAGTTAACTTGGTACCATCCCCCCAAAATATGTCATCTGGTTTTTGCCCTTCCTTGTGCAATGAGGGTAGTTTTAGTCTCTTCCAAGAAGATAAGTCTGGTAGTTTTGATCCCTTAGCAATGATCCCTCCAAGCTGTAGATGGATCCCATTAAAACAATTAACATTTTTTAATTGTCAGAGAGAAGCACGATTAGCCTCACCTGAATGCCAGCCCATCTTTCTTAGTGCAGCCAGTCACAATGTTCCAAGCCTTTCCAAGACCTCTTCTTTGTTATATATCAATAAAGAAGGTTCTCTCCCTCTTATCAGGGTCGCTGGCTTTACTGAGGTTGCCAATCTGATCTGCTTTCTTAAAAGTTGTGTGTGTCACTGATTTTGTTTGGAGTGTGTATATCTCAATCTACCTTTATTACATTTTTTCAAGATGTGGGGCAAAAAGTGATGGCTACAGAGAGCCGAGTCAAAACAGCCTGATGCCCACAGTCTTTAAACAAGGATGTTTCTTGCACTGAAGACTACACTCAACTCATTCTGGTTTCTCATGAAAAAAGAAGGGCTGGACGTAGCCCATTTGGGGAACTGTGAATCTCAAAGCATATTGCTTTCCGCAGTATTGCTTAGAGATGACATCCTAATACCTGGAAAGTGCTCGATCAAAGTGATTTCCCTATCCTCTGCTAAAACTCTGCTGACTAACTCTGCTAACAGAACAGTATCAGACTATTCAGCCTCAGCTCCGTGCTCTAAACTATGGGTCAAGACCCTCATGTTTAAGAAGCGTTGAAGGAGTCGCGCTTGGACTGGAAAAAAATTTAAGAAACTCTGGTCTAGAAAGTCATCTTTCCTTGTTCTTTAGGGATTCAGGAATAAACCTGGATCTCGGGGCTCCTGGACACCTCCACTCAAGTCTGTCACCCACCTGAGGCAATAACCTTTTGCTACCAGCACAGGAATAGATATCCTGAAAACTTCAATCAGGAACTAAGAGCTTCATGGAAAGTGTATTCCTACCATCAGGCATGTCCCTGTTAAACTTACATGTTGAGGATTTCTAACATGCTGCATCTCTCTGTCTCCCTTTGATAATAAGCTCTTCAGGTAAGGGCTGGTCTACTCAATAATTCCCTGAGACAACAGCAGAGGTCCAGTCAGAGTAGGGATGATTAGGGAGATTTTACGAAGGATAAGACTTTTTGAAATGGGAGCAGCACTGAAGCTCTGAGGTAAAGATGAAGACAGGAGACACCCACACACCTATATACACAGCCTCAGCTATCACTGCGGCACACACAGGAGACAATGAGGTATAGGATATGGAGGTAAGGAATGTCTAGTAGGGACTTTTTGAGTCAAGACTAGTGCCTGGGGCTGTTACCAGAGATGTAGTTACTTCCAGAGTCCTCTTAGGCCATTGGGTGAAGTGGTCCCGAGTGAAGTCCTGGGCCTTCCAGGCTGCAGGCTCTGAGAAGAGGTGGTTTCTGGTATCCATGCCCTTCAAGGAAGCCTCAGTCAGGTGGGATGGCTGGAGGGGCTGAAGCAAGTGGCTAGCCAAAGCAGTACTATGCAGCCTGGATGGCTGGGTCAGGATATGGTTCTCTCCAGAGAGAGAATGGCCGGTTGTCCAAATGGTTCCAAACCTTTGCTCTTCATGATTTTGGTCTGGCAAGTAGGTGCCTGAGAGGAGAGAAAGACCCAGTATATAGATCTCCCCAATGGATGTGTATGGGTGAACCATTCAACTTTTCATTCTAGCTAATCTGTCTTTTCAGGGTACAAAGAAGAAGAACTCAATGACAGATTTTTCCAAACTAGAATGATCCAAGTTACTACTGGGGGAAGTGGTGGGTGGCTGGGAAAGTATGGAAAGGGAAAGCAAGGCTGTAATGAAAGGGGTCAGAGTAGAAAGAGCCCAGGGGTACTAAAGTGAAAAGCAAAAACAAAAATAAGCTATAAGGAAAAGGGACATGTGCCAAAGGTTTGTTTGTGTTAATATTCTAATTAAAATTCAGAAAGCTTTGATAAATCAAAATAAATTAATTTTTAAAAATTCAGAAAGCTTTTATTAAATCCCTACACTATAATCCCATGTTCATTCTGGGGACATGAAAACAAATAAACAAACATTGAGCTCCTGTCCTCAAGGATTTTATCATCTAATACAGAACATAAGAAATGCATTTACCTGACCTTGGTCCCTTTTCCCTTAATCTATCCAGAGTGGGGAACTTTTGGCCTCCAGGCCACATGTGCCTTCTAGGTCCTTGGGTTTGGTTTTTTAACTGAGTTCAAGTTTTAGGAACAAATCCTTTTATTAAGGGGATTTGTTCTGTGAAGTTTGGGCTCAGGCAAAGAGCAGCAGCTAGAGGGCCACATGTAGCCTTGAGGCTGCAGGTTCCCCACCTCAATCTATACATTTAAAATAGTATTAATGGTTTAAAAATAAGAGCCTTTGAGGCATGGTGGGCATTATCCTGGACTTGCTGTCAGAAAGGTCTGTGTTTAAATCTTAGCACAGACCAAGCCTGACTAGCTGCATTATCATGGGCAAGTCATTATGCTTCTCTAACAAGTACACTAAAATTTTTTGGGGAGAGAAATCATTTTCATTCAGGGAAGGCTTCAAGGAGGGAGTGGCACCTCAATTAACATATCACTTGGAACAGAAAAACTATATGCACAGTATGATCTTGGTAGCTTGGATACCAGGCTTATTAAAGAGCCGAATTTGCATTCTAGGCCTGTAGTCTCCCGGGACCAGTAATTGCTGTTCAAGGCTCCAGGCACATTCCCTTTTAACCACCCTACACATCCAAGCAGAGCTGCTCTCTCAGGCCTTGAGATAATTCTATAATCAAACCCTTCAGGCCACTCCCTGTTTTCCAGTGTTTAGAGAAACAGAAGTTAAGTCCTCCTTGTCTACAGTGGCCTGGGGCAAAGGCGGAACCGGTGGTGCATCTGGTGTTATTAGAGGGTCAGTTAAGAGACACAGTGGATAGAGCTCTGCACCTGAAGTCAGAAAGACCCCAGTTCAAATCCTGCCCTAGACATTTACTAGCTGTGTAACCTTGGGCAAGTCATTAGTCTCTGTCTTCCTCAGTTTCCTCAAATGTAAAATGGGGATAAAAAACAGCACCCACATCCCAGGGTTGTTATGAGGATCAAATGATATAGTATTTGTAAAGTGCCTGACACATAGTAGGCGCTTAAGTGCTTGTTCTCTCTTCTCCCTCCCCAGCCTCAAGTTCCTCCATTAGAGATTCATTTCCTTAGAAATTATCCCTCGTTGAAATGTGAACACCCCCAGGTGGATAACACATTAAACTACTTAGACTTCTTAAAATACTCTAATACTTTTTTGGGGAATGAGTGTATTGGGCCCTTTCCCACAAACAAGTTTTGGAGAGCACACCGACCGAGAGCCTGGAAGGCTAAGTTATGACAGGTAAGGGAATTTTCCTAAAGAAGGTGGGAAGGTATCAAAATCTAAATTTTATCAAGGACAGTGGTCAATCCCTCCTGTTCCTGGGAGCCTAAAGGGCAGAGGTGACTGGAAGTCCCCTCTCTTGAGGATCTAAGGGGACCCCATTCTCCCAGCCGCAGCCTATTGGCTCCCGGGTCGTCCAGCCCACCCTGGCACCAGGCTCCTGTTCCAATCTCCTATCTGTCAGGCTCCCTCCCAGTGGAACCACAGTGGGGGAGGGCTGGGGATCCACAGTGGGGGCGCAGGAAGGAGTGGGGCTGGTTACCTGTGCTCAGGCCCTCCTCGGGAAGACGGCCACAGAAACAGCCCAGCAGGAGAGAATCCTGGCTAGAGAGAGGGGAGGGCGTTGGCAGGACCCGGAAGAAGCCCAGCTGCTCCTAGTTCTGCCCAGAGTGGAAAACAAGAACCTGGCAGCTGGGAAGATCAGATAGCTGGCGGCAGAGAGAGGGGCAGAGACTGCAGGAAACCGAGGAGGCAGCATGCTGGAGTGGGGACAAAACCAGCTACACTAGACTCGGAGGTAGGGATTTGGGGTGAGCCTGGGGGAGAACAGAGAAGAAGGACTTACTGAGACTTCAAGCCCAGGAGACACGGGGAGGGTCCTGCAAGCTTGCATGCCTGTGTGTCTCCTCCCCGGCAATGGCAAGTATGACTCAAAACTCCAGGCCTTTATGACTCCTGGGGAACCAAAGCCCCACTCACAACGGTTTGTGCGAGCTAGCTTTAAAGGGACAGCTACCCTCAGGCTCGATCCAGGAAGAATGAGCTCAAAGTAGCCCAAACACAGTGGCTTTGAGGGGCATTACTCTGTGCTCTGTGTGTGTATACATACATACATACACACACACATACACACACACATACATATATATACAGAGAGATTGCTTTGTATATATTTGTTTGCATGTTATCTCCCCCTTTAGACTGTAAACTCCTTGAGGGCAAGGACTGTCTTTTGCCTCTTTTGGCATAACCAGTGAGTATTAGCTAAGTGCCTGGCACAGGCTGTTGCTGTTCAGTCTTTTTCGCTGCCATGTACTCTTCATGACCCCATTTGAGGTTTTCTTGACAAAGCTGCTGGACTAGTTTGTCATTTCCTTCTCCAGTTCATTTTTCAAATGAGAAAACTGAGGCAAACAGGGTTAAGTGACTTGCCCAGGGTTACACAGCTAGTAAGTGTCAGAAGGCAGATTTGAACTTGGGAAGATGAGTCTTCCTGACTCCAGGCCTGACACTCTATCTACTGCACCACCTAGTTGCCCTGCCTGGCACATAGTATTCGCTTAATAAATATTTATTGGATTCAATTGAATTGGTTAGCAGTAATCATATAAATAATAACAACTCATATTTCTGAAGGGCTTTAAGGCTTATAAAGCACTTCCCTTACAATAGACCTAGGAGGAAGGATGTGCAAGTAATATCCCCATTTTATAAACGAGACTAGTGAAACAGAGAAGTTAAATGATTTACCCAGAGTCACATAGCTAATAAGTATTTACTCATTTTAGAAATGAGTATTTACTAAGAAGATAGAATAAGAGCAGCTGGTACAAAATATACCCCAATGTCTGTGACACTCTCACCCCCAACTACAAAGAGTCCAGGGGAAGGTGGAATCAAGCTGAGATGGAATATGTGTCACAGCTCTTGAACGCTGGAAGTCCTTCCCATCCCACCCCACTCCAATCCCCCAATTTTGGGGGATATTCAAGAAGTTCCTTTTAGGCATGGTGTAAGTCTCTTTGCTGGACGCATCCAGAACCATGCATCCAGTCTGTTCTTGACTCTTGATGCAAACATTGCCACCAGATGATCTAGGAATGTGAGTAGGGCACCCAAGGGAAAATGGCAGCTACCTCTACACTGGGGGAAAAGAAGAAGGGGCGATGCTAGGACACCAGTGGGAAGATGACAGATTCAACATCCTCTGGGCCCTTTAGAGCTGACAACGTTCTTCTCTAATCAGAAGCCAAGGACTTTCATCTCTTCCACTTCCATCATCCCTCACCCCCAAGTTCCTTCTAAACCAGGAGTGGGGAGCCTGTGGCCTTGAGGCCACACGTGGTCTTCTAAGTGCTTGGGTTCCGCCTTTTGCTTGAGTCCAAGTTTTGCAGAACAAATCATTTTTATTAAGGGGATTTGTTCTGTGAAGGTTGGATTCCATCAAATGGCTGCAATTTGAGGACCTAGAGGGCCACATGTGGCTTTAAGGCTGCAGATTCCCCACTCCTGTCCTAAACTGATCATTTATAGGCAATCCTTGAAATATGACCAAGTTTCTTTTACTTATCCAAACACAATTCTTGGTCATTGATATGAATCAGTTCAAAAGCTTAATTTAAGGCAGGGTTTCATAAACTTTTTTGTGTCAAAGACCCTTTTGACAGTCTGATGAAGCCTATGGACCCCTTCTTAAAATGTTTTTAAATAATTAAAGGAAATGCTATATTCAGTTGGAAGTTAGTATGATGTTTTTCCCCAAGTTCATGAATCCTGTGAAACCTACTTCCCTGGTCTGAGGCCTATAAATGATTAAAATATGTTATCATCTTGTTAAAGTATAAATAGTCAGAATGGGATGGGGTGGTTTTGACTCCATCCTCACAGTAGTATCATGAATTTAGAGACAGATAGGACCTTAAATGTCATCCAATCCAATGCTTTCATTTTAGAGATGAAGAAACTAAACACCAAAGATAGGAAGTGAACCCTGGCTAGAAGAGACAAAACTAGAGAGGAAAAACCCATAAGGAAAAGGAATCCCCAGTAAGAGAGAACTCACTGAAGATTGTAATTTTCTGAAGATTTTCCTGGAGGAAGCCAAACTGGATTTCTCTTCTCTTCTCTGTCATGCCAAACTTTTACCCAGGTGCCCAAATATTTCTCTAAGAAAATTTTTTCCGGGGCAGCTAGGTGGCGCAGTGAATAGAGCTCTGGCCTTGGAGTCAGAAGGACCTGAATTCAAATCCAGCCTCAGACACTTACCACTTACTAGCTGTGTGACCTTGGGCAAGTCACTTAACCCCAATCTCTTCACCAAAAAGCAAAAATGGAAAGGTTCTCTCTAAGAAAAATTTTTCCATCATTGACAGGAAAGATGTCTCAACTTCCCTCATGAGGTTTAGAAAACATCTGGAATGTTACATGAAAGAAGAAAAGAAAAAAATGGAGTTGATAAGGAAATGTATAAAAAGAACAATATAGCCTATGGACAAGATTCCATCTTTCCCCAGAATGGGCTCCACTGCAAACTCTCTCTTGAGTCATTGCCAGTGCTTTTCTATGGAGGTGCCAAGTACACCCACAGGCCTTGGAACAGAAAACTGACAAGTCACTTTGGGGAAGACCTAACTTGATGCTATCCATAATATCTAACAACAAAGGTTCTGAAACTGTTCCTGTGCACAGTAAATATGCCCGCACTTCCCCAACTGCTGCTACTGGTTGCCTTTTTTCTTTTCTACCTTTACTTTGGGGGACAATATATTCTTGAGGAGAGAAGTCTCAATCATAAGTCTCCTGTTTCAGGTAGGATGGGTTTAACTGTGCAAAGGTACAAAGCCCTGGTTCAGCTTGATGGTCAAAGAACTGCCTTTGGCTTATCCCCTTGTGACCAAGGGTGATTGATTGTCACAGAATCATACAATTAGAGTTGGAAGGGAACTTAGAGGCCATTAAGTCCAACCCCCTCATTTTGCAGATGAGGAAAACAGAGACAGAAAATTATATAATTTGACCACGGTCATACAACTAATAAGTGTCTAAGTGGGATTTAAATACCAGTCTTTCTGACTCCAAATCCAAGACCATATTCATTCTACCACACTCCTTAATTCATCAGGCTTGCTCCCATAGCCACTAGATCCAATCATCCCCACAGGCCTTGGAACATTTGCTTTCCAGTTCATCCCAAAGTTCAGCTAACTCCAGATATAAGGAAAACTGAATTTTGGATAGAGGAAATCAGGTCAAGTGGCTTCTACCTTGTGCTCCTTACCATTGTCAATACAGGCTAAAAGCCACCAGAGTGATGGGTTAGACATCAGGAGTAGATGTTATCCGTGAAAAGATTGTCATCCTAGAAGTATTAAAAGAAGTTTGGAGCCATCTTCAGGTCATCCTCCACCATCACAACTGCCTGCCATGTGAAGACACTGATGATCTGCTTGGGTTCCAGTAGATGCAACAGACAATTTTGTAAAAAGCCTTGAAATTTTGGCGTTCAGTTGGGATAAGTATGGCAATAACGTCAGAATGTTTGATGTGCAGGATGGAATTGCAATATGAGCCTGACTCACAATAATGAAGAAATGCTCAGCTAAGAGCTGGTAATGAAGAAGGTTATAATGGCTAAGGATTGTGCTGGAGTCTTAAGACAAGGAGGACAGATGATGTGGAGCTAGGTGGCAGCAGATAGAGTACCATGCCTGAAGACAGGAAGAGCTGGCTTCAAATCCAGCCTCAGGCACTTACTACCTGTGTGACCCTGGGCAAGTCACTTAATCCTGTTTGCCTCAGTTTTGGACCCTATGAAATAAGCCAGAGAAGGAAATGGCAAACCGCTCCAGTATCTTTGCCAAGAAAACCCTAAATGGGGTCATGAAGAGTTGCGCACAACTGAAAACTACCAAACAACAACATAGTTAAATTTCCCACCCATCCCACCTCCCCATACCCAATGAAAAGAAAGAACCCCTATATCACATGAGCACAATAAAGCACATGTTCCCCTAGTGAATATACTTCTTAGAATTCTCCTGCAGTGCAATGGGATATTTCACTAGAGACCTTCAAGCAAAGTCTAGATGACCGTTTGTTGGATATGTAATTGAGCAGATTCTTGTTCAAGTACAGGGGAACTAGATGCTCTCTGAGATGCTTCTACCCCTAAATCCAGAGGCAGATAGGTGGTGCAGTGGATAGAGTGCTGGACCTGAAGTCATGAGGATGAGTTCAAATATGGCCTCAGATACTTGATAGCTGTGGATTCCTGGACAAAGATCACACAAGTTATCACACATAACCTCTGCTTGCCTCAGTTTCCTCAACTGTAAAACAGGGATAATAATAGTGCCTACTTCCCAGGGCTGTAGTGAGGACCAAATAACATAAATGCATGCTGTATAAATAGCCTGACTATAGCATGCCAAAAATGTCCATGTGGTTTTCTTGGCAAAGATACTGGAGTGGTTTGCCACTTCCTTCTTCAGTAGATTCAGACCAACTGGTTAAGTGACTTGCCTAGGTCACCAGCCAGTAAGTGCCTATAAATGTTAGCTAATAATAATAGCTATTATTATCATTACTACTACTACTATTATTATCTAAATCATGTGGTCCTACTCACGATCTTCCTGTTTGCTTTTCTAGTTTTTCAGATGAGATGGAGAATTTCCAAGTGACATATTCCCATTTGTATCCAGGGGATCATGGACAAAACAAGGGGAAATCATAGGAAGAGTAGTAGGGAAAATATTCTTCCCCTGAAGTTCACCAGCCCTAGATGAGTCACAGTAGCTCCTAGCCTAGGAACTTAGGATAGATCAAGATCACCTCTGCCATGCAGGTCTCTGGCCACAGTGGCCTCAGTGGCCCTGTCATTTTCGTGAAAGTGAAGCAATCCAGATAACCCAATCAGATCTTGGGTAGTAACAAGA